TACATAGTTGTAGAGAGTTACCAGCTGTATCCACTTAGTGAGTTCCCATATGTATGAGGCTCGTCATCTGGATATGTATAGATCCTTCCGAATAGAAGAGACCAACACTTACTGTTTCATGACAGGCATCTATTAGGTCAGGGAGTCAAGTGAGCTCTCCCACATAAAACTATTATTATTATTAAAACAATTAGTTTCTTTGATAAATTTGAATAAGGCATTAAGAAGACAAATTTCGCGAGAGATGATATCTTCATTTCGCAGTTTCTTTACAACCGCTTTACATAACTAACATGGTTAACAATAATAAAATAAAATTCATGACAATTACTCAGTTATATAAAAAACAAAAGTACATGCTAATGACCAATCATATTTAAAGGGTCATGTAGTCCATGGTAGGCGAAGATTGAAGTCGATTGATTTGACTGTACAAAGTTTAGGCTGTATGTGATTAATCCAAAGTGCTTCCATCACCTTCAATAACTAACCTTGAATTAGAGTTATGTGAAATAATTGTGAAACAGTCATTAATATTGACTTTGTGACCTGACATTAATAAGTGTTTTGCAATGGATGATGACGCTGGATTTCTATTCAGATTAATAATTGCATTGGAATTTTCGATATGATTTAGTAGCCATTTTGGAACATGTTCTTTTCAACGACCACATTGGAACATTCTGTTGGTTCTACCCATATAGATGTCACCGCAACAACTGCAGGTGAACTTTTAGATACAGTTTGAAGTAAAGTCCACAGAATTTCTTCCTCTTACCGTAGGTAGGTACAGGGATCGAAAATGTTCGGCAAATGAGAAGAAGAGATTCGGTTGCGTAGAATGTGCTTTTGATAGCTGACTGACGTCTTTGAGCTGTCAACTGCATAATCTGGTCGCCCTTTAATGGTAGATTAATAAAGATAGCTTTCTTTGGCACAGAAGCTGTCTTTTCGAGATGTGGTCTTTCTTTACTGTGACAAGTGATAAAGTTCTCCGGATAACCATTAGCTAATAAAACTAAATGTATATGTGGAAACTCATCCATCAATGTGTCACTCGTGCACATATATTTCGGGCCCTTGAGAACAAACATTTTACTAGAAGGGGTGGGGATGTTTATACTGGATAAGAACAAAATTGGTGAAAAGAATATATTGTCCACTCCATGTCTGTTTACGAAAAATAGATCGCTGAATCGTCCCATCATCTCTCCTAGTCATTGTAGTATCCAGGATACCGAGTTTGTTATTCAATTCTAGTTCAGTAGTCACTCGAATATTTGGATGAATATGCTTAAATAAGGTAATAAAGTTTTCAACAGATTTACTATTATTACGAACAATGAGAGTATCATCTACGTAACGTTTATACAACATAATATTATTATTCGTCATAATTTATGCCCTTCATGCAAACATTCTATCAATACTATCGAATTTTCCATTTACACTATCCGGACTTATTATCACTGATGTAATTCCTTTTCTCAGTATATGCCTCCACCTGTTTCATTTCATACAAATTGGTTAGTTCATGATGAACCTGTCATTATAGTCTTACAATCTCCTCCTCTTTAAAACATACCACTTTGTACTAGCTACTGACTCACCCGACACCCTTTATAACCTTGAACTGACTTGTCAATTTTCCTACCCCATAACATTCTACGAACCTATTATGACTCACTAATCACCATAATTGTCTCCCATTTCACAATATTTTGTAATCGATTTCAGCCAACTAGCACGTTTGTCACACAAATACGACGGTTTATTTTGACCGCCTGTGATAACTAATCTGTTCCTTTACGTAAAAAACTGTATTCGCCGCATAACTGGCTACTTTATTGTAACGACAACAAATATAGCACAGTAGAAGCACTTTAGATGCAGCTGCCGTCTTATATCATAACATTGCTTCCAGTATAGACAAGGGGGCTAAATTTGTTTGTCGTGCCTTCCTAGACTATACATCTGCTTTCGACTCGGTCCCTAGGGACATCTTATTAAATAAACTTGCTGCTAGTCAAACACAATGTTGGGCTGTTAACTGGTTACATTCCTATTTCTCAGAAAGAAAGCAGTACACCGCGTATAAAGGGAAGTCTTCCACTTCATTGCCCACTGAAGCTGGTGTCCCTCAAGGCGCTGTCTTTTCTCCTTTTCTTTTTTCTTTCTTCTTACATGACTTGCCTCACTCTGATGAAATAAACTTTGTGAAGTACGCTTATGATTTAACAGTTTTAATGGCTGTTAACTCCCAGCTAGATTGTACCAAAATAAATAGCCTCCTATCGGGAGTCAGCAAATGGTCTGAGTCTAACGGTCTTAAACTGAATCCTTCTAAGTGTCAAGCTGTTGATTTCAGCTTAAGATGTAAACGACAGTTAAAAGAAGTCATCGATTCTCATGACAGTTGTAAAATTGACGACAATGATATAGGAATTAAATCAGAAATTAAGTATCTTGGACTCATTCTCTCTTCTGATCTCTCCTGGTCTTCCCATGTCTTAGCGATCTCCAGTAAAATATTCCGCCTGACATTTTACATTAAGAAGTTAAGGCACTCGAGTATAACTCAACCAACCCCTCATCCTCTTACACTTCATAAACTCTTGCATCCTACCTATTCTTCTCTATTGTCCACCCATGCTTATTCTTTCCTGGTTTGCTACTTAAAAAGGACTATGTCACAATTCGCAGGATGCTGAAGACGGTCAGTAGGGTGAGTGGTGTCCCAGTGGACCGATCACATAGTTAACGTCGTTGTCGATAGGCACATGACTACGAGCAATAAATTTGTTAAAGGGATTTTGTCTGACTTGGAGCGTCCACTTCACCCTCAGCTTTCACCTTGCAACTCCTCAGGTAGAACAAGAAGTAACTTCAGAAAACTGTATGCTCGCACGTCTAAGTATACAAATTCTATGATACCATACTTGGGACATATTTTATGTGGTGAAAATAGTGTCGAGCAAGAATTAACTAATCTTTTTTCATCTAGTAAATAAACAAGTTTTACTTTTATTATTTCTATCATATTTATGGTCCTGTTGCTTCCTTGTTTGTTTTACTCTCATAGTTGCAAACACCAACTTATCTCCATGACTGCTGTAATCTTTGTTTTTCCCCTCACCATATTATGTGAAGAGAACATTATATTCAATAGTTTTTAAACAAGCTTAGATTTCTATACCGCATCGACAATACTGTGTGAAACAAGCCCACGGCAATTTTCACTTGTATTCTTATTATTATTACCCTGGCTGTTATCATTATTATTGTAATTATTTCCATTTTATATGCTGCATGTTTTTTACATTACCCCTATTGTAAATGTGGAAAATTTTCTGTGTGATTAATTTTATTTGTAATCTGAGGAAATTAGATGCAACATTGTGATTAATGCTGAAAATTTCATTCTGTATCACAAGTACTGTGTTTGGAAGAAAGTAAATTATTATTATTATATGAGCCTGAATAGGGGAAAATACTGAAAAGAATAATCTTCGTTTAGAATGACTTTTAATTCCTGTGATATGGCAATATTCCACACTATTAAAACACTAATGCTAGCTATCATTTTTCTGATGCCTCAGTTCATGTTACTTGACTGAATCGAGGTATTCTTTGTTGATTCCTAGAAATGCATCCTTAATTATCGCCTTTAATATTTCATCTTGGTATTTACCATTAAGCAGGGTGACAATGTACATTATTACATAACCAAAAGAGCACCATCAAGACGGTAATCGATCATAACAAAGATGAAATGCTGTATGAACAACAGCCATTTTTACTTACCTTTCTATGGTATTTACAAAGAGTCACACCTAATTTGTATGAGAGCCGTTGAAACCACCACATTTTTGGTGGATTTTGGTCCGAACCCCAAATGACTCAGTTGACTGGAAGTCCAACCACACACCTCGACTCATAACTTGCTTAATACTGACGGATTATTTCCATTGATAACTGCAATACTCTTTTTTGTTATTCCTTTAAGTTCCTAGTGGAACACAGAATAGAGCTTCAAGCGAGAGCTTTGAAGTTTCAGTGGCAGTGTTTTCATTTTAACAGGGCTGGGGTTGCTAGCCTCAAGCCCACCCAGTCTCCCCTCTTTACCAGTCTTATTACTGGCTTAGGAAGGTTTAAGAGTGCATCGGCCGGAGATTGATTCCCTGGCCACGTGTATGGTTGGAGGACATTCTACCGCCAGACTACTGACACGCAACTACACATATTCCTTTTATTACTATTATTTGTATTCATTCCCTAAATTTAAAGCGGAATACAAGACTTCATCAGCACATTTGTATTCATTTAGCTGACATCAATTTCAAGAAACTTTATGATGGACAGACAAGCTCTCATTTCTCCACCACATAAGATCTTCCCCATTTCATCCCCAGACATATGCTAAAGCTCCCACACCCACCATCTCCATTTCGTGTCCTACTCGAGGACCTGGAAGGTAGCGTCACTTTTCCATTCTTCGAGAATTTGTGAACATATCGCTTCAAGCTTTTCCAAGATTGAAGATAATGTCGCAGTCACAGGGCTGTGTGGCAGCGAGTTTCACGGGGCCGAACTTTATCTCTCCCCTGCCTTTATTAACTGATAGTAAATTAGGCTTCGGTGGCATAGCGGTTAGGACGCTCGCCGATCATGCACATGGTCCGGGGTTCGATCCCTGGCCAGTGACGCACTCCTTTACCTCGCTAAGCGATAAACAATGCTGGTAAAGAGGAAAGGTTGGACATGAGGCTAGCAATCCGATCCTGTAAAAATTAACAATTCTACAGAAACTTCAGGCATCTAGCTTGAAGCCCTATGTTCCACTGGGGAACGTGAAAGAAAGAAAGAAGAAATTAGGCGAAAGGTGAGTGTTCGTCGGCCGAGTTGGCTGGCTAACATTCAACCAAATGAACTACACACGCATGTGATGATACTATGCATGTAAAATATCATTATTTTACCCTCAGTTCTTCTCTTTACAGATTGTTTCAGATTACTCCAAATCCCATCTGATTATTCACCGTCAATATCAATGGAGTCGGATAGTCTACAAGGTCTAACAAACTGTTCTAACTCACCTGTCCATTGTACAACCCCCTCAATAAATTTTCACATTCAACACCTATTGAATTCAAATGATGATGCTGTCAGTCAAAATAGCCTTAAAATTAAGAGAGGTCCAGCACAAAAACCAATAACAGACGACTGCAATTATCCTCCAGGTCCAGGGAATAAACCTCAAACTCATCCAATCAATTTAATCAGTGATTACGACTTGTATTATGCTATGAATCATGTTAAAAAAACAATTACCACCAGTTACAACGAGACTACTCCTCATATTACAAATCCTACCAATGATCATAATAGTAACAATAATAATAATAATCACTTAATGGGAACTATTAGTCAATTATTGCACAATTACACTCCAGAGAAAATATCTCTGTTTCTAAAATTTATGCAAAACTTTTATTCCGAAGTATCCGATGGCGGATCGCCATCGGAACAACAACTACAATGTCTGTTGAAAACAAAAATGATGACAGTGACCACACCAACATCACCAACAATAAAATGCTTAGATCTCCGACAAGATCAACACGAGAAAGAGGGGATTACCACGTCAAAAAGGACGACCACTACTATGAATAGTAATGAACTGCCCAATACTTATGTAGTAGATGATGATACGATTAGAGATCAAAATCGTGCAGATTTACCGCCACAGATGAAAACAAGTGAACAACAGTTGCAAAATATGAAAATATTAAAACATTTAATGAAAGATTATGTACAGATGAAGGATAGTGTGCTGAAGAATCAACAACAAAATGAAGTCAATTGTAGCGGCTTTTTTCCAAGTACTCATAATAATGATGATGTGAAATATGCACAAAAAGCTTTTGAATTATTGACTAGTGAATGTGGAACAAATAATCTGCTACCATTTATGTTACATAATCCAGGTAAGTTGATAAAAAAGAACAACCACAACAACAGAAAGAACCAGCTCTTGAATTGGTTGTGTGTGTGTGTTATTTTTTCTCTTCTCTAGAAGTTGCTTTATGCTCAAGTATTGGTTTGTAGGGATCTGGTTGATTGATTTGTTACAGGATTTCATTGGTTAGAGAACCATTGGAAAATCTGCAGGGAGTACTGGACAGCTGTTTATGTGGTCCTAGTCTGGGACTCTTCAGCAGTACAAATACTCGCTGAAGACATTGGCTAGCGCCAGTGGCGCTATGTCGTGAATTGGCAGAAGTTAGAATTCATGGGCTGGCTATTGGATCAGGTCCCAGTGGCTTAATGGTCTATGAGCTCACTAGCCTTGTAAGCAGAACGTCCTGGGTTCGAACCCCGGTGGGTGCGTACTGCTGGAGAGTCCCAAACTAGGACTGAGGAAACAGCTATCCAGTACTCCCTGTTGGTTTTACGATGGTTCTCTAACCAATATCAACTCATGATGAAGTCCTGTAACTAGTCTCTTTATGTGTTTGATTAAAACTCTGAAGTTATATAACAGGTTCAGGATGCATTGACAGCTTAAAGAAGGAATTCAACGCGTCAAGAAACTTAGGCCTGCATCACCTGTATGAATGCAGTTTATTAGGCGGTTGGCAGGAAGGCTTGACTGGCCTAGGTTTCCCGCTTAATGGCACTACTCACCAGTGAGCAAGACGTACTATGGAATTTTTGAGGAATTCATGTAACCTCTACGGTGTGAACCGATGTCATCAAGTGCCTCATTGTAACAATATGAACGCAATATTCAGCGAAGAGAATCTTTTCAACGAATTTACTATCAAGCTGCACAATGGTATATATATGGTTTAAAAAAATTATATCCCGTGGGGGAATTAGATCAAACGTGTAAATACATGAAACAGTAATAACAGTAGTATGAAATGCAATTGAAACAGCACAAAGCAGGTCGGGTGTGAGGACAAATACTCGCCACCAAAGACATTGGCTAGTGGTAGCGGTATATCGTGAATTGGCAGAAGTTGGAATTCACAGGCCATTTGATTGGGTCCCAGTGGCTGAATGGTATACGAGCTCGCCAGCCTTGTATTCAGAAGGTCATGGGTTCGGACCCCGGTGGGTGCGTACTGATGAAGAGCCTCAAGCTTGGACGTAACAACTGTCCAGTACTTTCAACTGGTCTTCCAATGGCTCTCTCCAGCTAATGTCAGCTCATGATGAAATCCTGTTACCAATCAACCAAATCCCTATAAACCAACACTTAAAACTAAAATGCTTGTGACTTTAATCATAGTTTAATGTCAAGTGACAAAACAATTAATGTCATATATAGAATACTACATAAGATGTATAGATAGATGTTGGAAAGGGGTGTATAATTATAGGGTTAGTAGGCGAATATAAAACGTTACAACATAACGTGGTGTGAAATTTGATACAATAGAATTCAATATTGTAAAAAAAATATATAATTTTGGAATTGGAATGACAAGTTGGACAAGTGGGATCAATTGAAAGTGAGAACATTGATTATAATAATGATAATAATAATCTTAGTAATGAGGGAAAGGTACATAGAATAACTAAATAAACAAAATAAGTAAATAAATGTCTATCCCTCTACGGCCAAGGCAGAAAATCGGGATTGTACATACTTCTTTTGTATACAAAGGTCTAGCTGAAATGCATGAAAAGCCAAAGCCTCTACTATCTTTAGAAGTCTGTAACGAAGAAAATGTGACCGGTAAGTTAGCAAAGATTCGGTAGATGATCTTAAAATCACAATTAGGGTTGGCAGTATGACAGGAGCCGATCAAGTGCTCTGTAGCATAGAGCTTGTCACAGGAGGTCAGTCAGCAGCCTAAATAGCTGAGTGGTAATGCCTCTGAATGCAACGATGGCTGACGTGGATTCAAATCACAGACGCGGGATGAATCCACTCAAGACTACACCCACACTCTATGTTGACTGATGAGTGCTAAGAGACACGAAGCCTCGGTTAAGCAGAGCTATCTACCAACTGTCTAACATCGATTCAGAGTGCACTACCATCGTCAATCACGCATAACATTAATTACTAACTAGTGACTAATGAATACACCACTGGACTATATTTCAGAAATTCAGTAGGCAAATGCTGTAAGCATAAGCATTCACTGGACTCGGCTGATTGTTTTGCTGAATGACAACTGTATTTCCCTAATATAAATTATAACACACTGCCATTTTGTGTTCAGAAGAATTGAAACACTCATTTCATGTGCCACTGGTTAACGTGTCTGTGTGCGTATGTGTATGGATAAATCTACTTCGTAATAAGAAAGGTGTTGGAAAATGTTTTGAAAGGGTGAAGTAAATTTGAATTTGAGACGGAACCTTTTTTTCCAGTTTCATTGTACATACTACTACGGGATATGAGTACTTAGGTACTAGTGACGTTAAACAGTAATTTTTGAAAGGCAGATAGACATTTAATATTGAATTTTAAAAGTTAGTCATCACGAAAACCTTCTGGATATAAGTCTTGGGCTCTCTGAGTTAGTTAGTTAGTTAGTTAGTTAGTTAGTTAGTTAGTTAGTTAGTTAGTTAGTTAGTTAGTTAGTTAGTTAGTTAGTTAGTTAGTTAGTTAGTTAGTTAGTTAGTTAGTTAGTTAGTTAGTTAGTTAGTTAGTTAGTTAGTTAGTTAGTTAGTTAGTTAGTTAGTTAGTTAGTTAGTTAGTTAGTTAGTTAGTTAGTTAGTTAGTTAGTTAGTTAGTTAGTTAGTTAGTTAGTTAGTTAGTTAGTTAGTTAGTTAGTTAGTTAGTTAGTTAGTTAGTTAGTTAGTTAGTTAGTTAGTTAGTTAGTTAGTTAGTTAGTTAGTTAGTTAGTTAGTTAGTTAGTTAGTTAGTTAGTTAGTTAGTTAGTTAGTTAGTTAGTTAGTTAGTTAGTTAGTTAGTTAGTTAGTTAGTTAGTTAGTTAGTTAGTTAGTTAGTTAGTTAGTTAGTTAGTTAGTTAGTTAGTTAGTTAGTTAGTTAGTTAGTTAGTTAGTTAGTTAGTTAGTTAGTTAGTTAGTTAGTTAGTTAGTTAGTTAGTTAGTTAGTTAGTTAGTGAGTTAGTTAGTTAGTTAGTCATACTTCAGGATCGCAGATCTTTCGTAATAATGAAAGAAGGATGCTGATTTTTATTGGGGCTTCTTCTCCACTGTTTCTGATTCATTTAGTTGAATTTATCATCAAGAACTCACCGTACACTTGCCCTGAGGTTTTCCGCACGTTCTTTCTTAACTTGTAGCATATGTTTGTAGCTCTTATGTACTCAACACGTCTCATAAGTTTTCTCAGCAATCTAGACAGGTATATTTCGAATGATCTGATGACTTTCTGTCAACATTAGATATTAATTTTTTACAGTTAATTTGTAGATTAAGTGAATTATTTCAAGTTCGATCACGAATTGTTATCAGTTGGAGGACTGTTGAAAACCAGATCGTAAATAAACTTCACAACATATTCTCTCAGGAGAAAATCAGTCAACCAGATTTCTTATCTTTACACTGTTCGTTAGCTGAAATGAGAAGAGGAGTGTAGATGATTGTTTCATCCGATCAAATCAGTAGGATTCAAGTAAAAATACTTGTAAACTATTTTTTTTTAGCGACCATCAACTTTTATTTTGGTTTAGTAGGATTTTAAACATTTCAACGAAATTTCAGTCAGGGAACCGTTGAAATGTAGGGAGTGCTGGAATGCTGTTTCTTATTTGTCTGTGATGTAGTTTAACTTGTACTCAAAATTACCCTTTCAGATCTTAGCTATCATATTCAAACTAAGTTTGTGCTAATGATCTTATTAGGTCTGACAGTTAATCATTCACGATTAATTAAATCAAATCCCTACAAATCAACACTTGAAAACTGATCTAGTCTAACTAGTGACTGAGAACACAGGATGGGGCTGCTGAAGATGCAGTGGAAAATTGTGGCTTAATATTTCACGAACTGTCAAAAGGTAGAACTGATGGACTGGGCATTTGATCCTTCATCTTCATTTAGTACTTCAGTCAGTTTGTAGAGACTTTTTTTAGTTCTGACTTAGATCACAAAATAACTAATGCATTGGTTATAGAACCATTGAAAACCATCAGAGAGTGCTGGAGAGCTGTCTCGTCATAGGATAGAACTCTTCAGTAGTTCGCACTCAAGAGCTCAAAGAGAACCAAACCCAAGACCTTAAGCTTACAAGACGAACTTGTTGGCCATTTAGCCACTCAGACAGAATTCAGTGGTCAGCCCATCAATTCTAATTTTTGTCAATTTACGATATATAATGTAACTATCAAGTGATATCATCGGTAAGTTTGTCCTTCATAGCCTGAAGGTTCTTGGTTTGGTCTTCATTGGTGGGGGTAATGGGCGGTTGCTGTCGAAGAGTCTCAAACAGTGACGAAACAGCTAGTCTTGAATGATTCCCTTAGTAATACCATTCCGTGATAAAAATTGAATTGACTGATTACTGAAGTGTTTGGTTATAGAAAAGAACGTTAATCGTCAGTTTATTCTATCTAGTTACCTACAAAATAACTGACCTGGCTTTCGATGGAGTGGGCATTGATATTTAGCTTCTTAATTTCATTGCATCCTCATTCAGGCTTTCAAATCAGCTTTCATTCAGACTAGTGATACTTTGTTGTTAGTTTTTATACAGATGAGAAGTAAGCGTAGTATGAATAGAATGATGAAATTACTGTTTGATCGAGAATTTGAACTTACAAATCAGTCAATGAAGTGTTCTCGCTATCTAACACTCTATTTCTAGTTGGTTCATCGCCAGACCACATCCGTATAATTCCATTATGGGCGAAATTTAGTTTGATAAGGTCTCACAGTGTTATATAGTAATATTAAGTGATGACCACGTTTCGAGCACAATTGATTACTACTGCTCATAATCATATCAAGACATCGCTTACACAACTTTCTAGCTTCGTTTATAAAATTCCATTCCTTTCCATCACTTGACTTGATTGGTAGTAGTATTTTCCATATTTCTTGTATGAAAGATGAGTCATTCCTATCGTACATGTTGAGTGTAGACTCGATGAACCGAGATTTAGTAACTAACCTCCTCTCTCTCTCAACCTATCCATGTTACTTCTTCAAATTTTAACCCTCTCCGACTCTGTTGTGCGGCTGTGTGTTAATGCATGCAGTGCAGTGCACTTCTGAGTTCCTCGTGTAAATTACTTGTCTTCGTGGGATCAGTCATTCTAACCTTAGCTAAATTCTTATTTTCTGATAATCTCACTACTTCTGAACAACTAGTTTGACCTATGTAGTTGACCTAACTCACAGTCATTCTAAGGTATTTTGTAAATTATATTATTTTGTCTAATTGGGTCTACCTACAGTGTCCTCTAGCCTACAGAACTTGTCCTATCTGAGTCAGTTTGTAGGTTTGAATGCAACCACCATAATTCCTGCTTAACTGAGAATCCTACTATGTAGGGAGAGTTTCAGATGTCCCCTCCTTCATAGCTAATTCTCCTTGTTCATTTTCCGATTCAAATGTGAATTTTATTCCCTCCATTAGTGAGTTTATGCATGTGTCAAGAAGCTAGAGAGAGAGAGAGAGAGATGTTCTGTTTTTAACACTGTGTGTGAAAATGTCATCCACATATTTCCACCATATTTTTGGAGTAGGATTAAATGTATCAAGAGCAACATTTTCCCCGCTGTTCATAAATATGTCTGCTACGATAGGGGATATTGGTGATCCAACCCATTGTTACACCTTCCGTTTGTCTATATATTTTGCCTTGGAACTTAAAGATAGTAGATGTGAAGCATAACTGAATTCCTAAAATAACTTCTTCAATGGGCAGCTTCGCCCTATGAGTGAGTTCAGGATGTGCAGTTAGTTCTTTTTTAACTGCTTCTAAGGCGAGCATATTGATTGGTATATTAGTATAAAGACTAGTTATATCAAAACTAACCATTGTTTCATCATTCTTCAGTAGTTGAATGTCATTTAGTTTATTTTTCATCTCAAATGAATAAACTAGTTTAGAGTTTGAGTGATTTCTAATGGGGCATAATATTAGAGCTAAGTGTTTTGATAATTCATAAGTAGGAATATTCCTAAAGTCTACTACTGGTCGTATGCGGTAGCCTGGTTTATGTATTTTAATAGTACCATCCATTCTACTAGCATTATTAGATTTAGGCATTAAATTAAACCATTTTGACGCACCCAGTGGCGGCTTCATTCCGCGTGTTAGTTCTGCTGTAGATTTCTTAACCTTATTCATTATTGTGTCTGCAGGCTTCTTAATTTCTTCATATGGACGCGTTTGAATATGTTCAGTAACTTTTTTGATATAGTCAGCTTTATCCAAAACTACGGGGCTTTTCCTTTGTCAGCTTTAGCCATGACAATATTTTTATCCTGTTTTAGACTAATTAAAGCTTCTCTCTCTCTTTGAATAGTGGAGGGAATAAAATTCACATCTGAATCGGAAAATGAACAAGGAGAGTTAGCTATGAAGTTAGATTGTAAAATAAAACGAATAGAAGAAGGTAAACTACACACTAGTGTTTATAGAAAACCAACTCATTCTAATTGATATTTAGACTTTAATTCATTTCATCCGTTAACTGTTAAGGCAGGCTTACTTAAGTGTTTAACAAACCGAGCAGTAGCACTAAGTAGCACAAAAAAGACCTAAATGATGAACTAAAACAGATAGAAGAGGCTTTGGTGTTAAATAACTATCCTTTAAAATTCATTAGAAAGATCGAAAAAGGGCAAACGAAAAATAAAAATAATTGTGGAACTCGTAATAATAACATAAATAAGAGGGAATACAAGTCATCCACTGTTATACCATATAAAGAGGGGACATCTGAAACCCTACGTAGGATTCTAAATAAAGCAGGAAATAGGGTGGCATTTAAGCCTACAAACTCACTCAGATAGGACAAGCTGCGTAGGTTAAAGGACCCGGTTGACCCAATTAGACAAAATAATATAATTTACAAAATACATTGAAATGACTGTGAGTGATGTCAACTGCATAGGTCAAACTAGTAGATCTGGGTTAGTGAGATTATCAGAAAATAAGAATTTAGCTAAGGTAAGAATGATTGACCCCTAGAAGGTAAGTAATTTAGAAAAAAGCTGAGCAATTGCACTGCATGCATTAACACACAACCACACAACAGGGTTGGGAGAGGGTTACGATTCTAAGAAGTAATTTAGGTAGGTGGAGATAGAGAGAGGTTGATTACTGAATCCTGCCTGGTTCATCGAATCTACACCAAACACATACAACAGGAATGATTCATCACTCATACCTGAAATATGGAAAATACTACTAACAATAAAATCAAGCGAAAATCAAGTGAAAAATAATGGCTCTATATAAATGAAGTTTGGAAGTCGTGTGAGTACCTTGATATGATTATGAGCAGTAATAAATTGTGCTCGAAACGGCCATCAGTGAACATTACTGTATAACACTGTTAGACTTTATCAAAACAAAAATTTACCCATAATGGAATTACACTCTACCACACTGCACAAGTTTTATTCCTCTATCAGTTGGGGCTTCCTGTGGCCGATTGCCTGCAACCGTCTAATATCATCAAATATTATTACTGTGTTAATAAGATGTTGACTCTTTTTACAACTTCAAAAAGACCAGTTATTGTCTGTTATATGAGTACCTTTCAGTTACCTAAAGAAAATCACGGTGAGATGTCATCTAAGGTATGGCAACATTTGCAAAAGAATATCTGCGCTACACACTACAGGATTGGCTTTCGAATCTATCAAGGCAAAGTTAAACTTTAAGCACCACCAACTACCAATCAGCAAATGACCTCGAACGCACCAGCCATTTGAAGGAGGCATTTTTGTGTATGGAATATATATATTTATGAAAACAAATGCAAGCTGTAATCAAAAATAAATAATAAAAACTGTATAAAAGTGTTATAGAGGATACCCTCCTCTCACATGTGATAAAAGTAGCTCTCAGTTTTAGATTGGAATATCAACAGAGTATAATTCCATTGTGGGTAAAATTTATTTTGATAAAGTTTCATAGTGTAATACAGGAATATTTTGCTGAGCAATAAATAAATTGTGCCGGAAACATCATCAGTAAATATTACTTACTGTATAACACCACTGTGAGACTTTATCAAAACAAAATTTACCCATTATGGTGGAATTATACTCTACCACAGTGCACAAGTTTCATTCTTATATCAATAATTCCAATTAAGCTTTACAAATTAAGTTGCCGATACACCAATTAGTAGTCACTTAGTATCCTCTTACACAATGAAATTTTCAACAAAAATAACTTGTATTTGTCACAAGTTCTGCTTTATTATTTTCCACTTCTTTACTTCTCTTTAGCCTCTGGTTATTCTTCAATACCAATTTACAACCGTAACACCTATCCGTCAAAACAATGTCGACGTCGTAAAGCAAGAACTGTATTCAGCGATCATCAGTTAACTGGTTTAGAGCATCGTTTTGAAACACAACACTATCTGTCTACACCAGAACGTATTGAATTGGCAAATCGGTTGAATTTATCAGAAACACAAGTACGTAGAAGTGTTGAGTATTTGGTTGCTGTTGAAAAAAAAATCGATACTTTATTGAATTCATTTATAGATTTTTCTGGTTGATTGATTGATTAATTGATTGAACAGAAGTGATCGGTCTCAAGTTGATATGTCGGATTCTTGTACAGACGCTTCGATGATGTATGGTCATGTAACTAGAAGTCACCTGGTAGGTTCAAGTGGGTGGGTGGATGGGAACACCACCAATCACTGGAGAATGCAGGTATATCCTGATGAGGAGTTCCATATAGTACGAAATGCATATTTTAGATTCCAACCCTACTAGTCACCATCCACCTGTTGATTTTGATACTTTATACAAATTAGCTTTGTGTTCATTTGTGCATTGATTTTATTCTCTGCTCTCGACTTCATCGGAGCTACCATTTAATCTTGATGGATATCAAGACTAGTAAAATTTTGGGGGAGGATTTCATCAACACTTTAAACAACATATCCTCCTAATAATAATGTGCCTACTGATTCACGGTGAACTCTCCTATTAGGATATCATAATGGTTAGAATTCCTCAGGAACCAACGTAAGTTAGAGAGATCATTTAAACCCAGCCATGGAACACCGGACAGGTGTTTTGTCCTAGTTTTTTTTGAGTCTTCCCACTGCCTCAAGCACCAGGGATTAAACCTGGGACCTTCAGGTCAAGACCAAGACCAAGCTTGATGACCATTCATTCACTTGAACTGGGATCCAAGTGACCTGTGACTCCTAATTTTAATGTCGAAACAAACCAGAAGGTCCTGGGTACGCACCCCGGTGGGTGAGTACTGATGAAGAGCCCCAAACTAGGACTTAGGGAACAGCTGTGTAGTACTCCCAGGTTTTCCAATGGTTCTCTAAGTGATGTCAGCTCATGATGAAGTCCTCCATGTAATCAAACAAAACCCCTACAAAACCAACACATCAAAACAAATTGTTTTTGAACTCATAAATGGTATTTTAGACTGCCTAATCTAAAGGGCTTTTCTAAAAATATTAGGATACGCTCGAAAAATATTTTTCTAGATGGGTTTAAAAGAGGTGTAGATATCAGTTTTATATGTTTCGCAACAGAAGAGCTGGGTGGTCTATTTTCACTGGTAATTGGGGCTAGATACACTAGGGTGTAACATCACTTTTTCTTCGTATGTTCTAAGAACACTTAGATGGACATATAGGCTTACGATTCTCGATTATTTGGAACTTAGCTGCAAAATAAAAGTCTGTTTGACCACACTGTTCAATCTTTGTTTAGTTACCAAGCTGTCACGATTACTCATGTAGAGTAGCTTGATAAACGTGCATCCCTGTGAGAGAGGTAAGTCAAAGAATCAGTCTTGATATTATGACCACTTTATATCGCCTTATGAAATTCTCTAGATAACTGCCATGTCAACTAGAATTTCTGTCAGTTTTCTTTCCTCATCTTCAAGTGTATATCATCTGCGGTTATACGCTGAATCCTACCAAAGAGGCAGTTCGCCAAGGTTCTTTTGTGTCGAACACGAGAGAGAGAGAGGCTGTGGTAATTAAGACACTGTCCTGACCAGGAAAGTTTTCTAATAAATAGATCGTTCCATTGATCCATCAGGCCACCGATCAAGCAATATATCTGGAAAAGAATAGATACTGAACAAAGAGTACTCTTTTCGACAACCCCTTCATCATCAATCTCTACAGTTATAAATACATTATGGTGAATGAATGAATGAATTAGTGTTATAAACGACATTAATGCTGTTTAAATAACATCGAATCAATAATATTGATAGATTATAGCTCAATAGCATCAAGGTAAAATAAGCTGAATGTCAGAAAAATTAGGAAAGATCATATTACAAATTCATGAATTTATAGTCTCTACTGAAGGCTGACCAGGGCAGTAGTAGGGGCTGGCTGGACTTGCTTCTTTTGAACACAGAGCACTGGTTGTTTGAGGCGAATTGCAATAGCCTCTGGTGTTTAGAGCATGCGGTGCTTCGGCGTTTTTGGCAATTTATTAGGCACCCGGTAAATGATAGAGAAGGATTCTTCCACGCTGTTTGGCTTTGTGGCCGGCTAGTTTGCACCAGATGGTCCAATGTCAAAATGATGATGATGGCTTTCACTACATCTTCACTTAGCCATACTGGGAGATGTTCTAGATGTTTTTAGAGCAATGGCCAATATAGCTCGCTCCACCAGAAGCGCAGTTGAAGTGATAGATATTATTTGAAGTGACTAGTCTAAGTACTTCATCTTTCAATCTAGTAAGCACCATCGGTTGTGTAGGGCATAAGACGTGTAGTTTGCCAGCATTAAAAGTGTTTTGAAGTGATTTTCTTAATTTCCTCGTAATTATCTCACCTGCTATATCGCCCTTGAATTGCAGTCGTACAGAAAGTGGTTTCGTGTTTACAGATAGTGAGTAGTCCTACTCTGCCGCTTTCTTTGTCATGTGTTTCTTGATAAATTTGTCGGGATAGTCATTTTCGATCAAAGTAGCACATACAATCCTTAATTCATCTTCAATTACTTCTTCTGAGCATATAGCTCTAACTCTGTGGCTGAGTGAGGGTCTTCACTAAATTTCTTTTGTACTTGATAGGAACGAAGCTGTGAAAATGTGTGTATATTGTCCTGTCCAAGTACTTTTTCTATACAAATTTCTTTTTATGCTACCATCTGGTTTTCTTGTGAGTAGGAAGGCAATTCTGTCTTGGGATTCCTCTTCGCATGTGAATTTCATAGCCGAATGTACTTCATTGAATTCAGTTATTATTGTACTCCTATCAGAACTATTATTGGCAATGAAATGAGAGCTTACTGATAAGGTTGTTTAAAGGTCCATTTTCTAGCTTACTTACTAAGAAATCAACCAGAATGGGACCCAATGCGGAGCCCATCGCCATCTGGAAAAGAAAAACAGTTGTCCTTCTAAGTTTGCTATTTTCATAGTATATTGGTCGATAACCTCAACAAAAATGCCTTCGATGAAGATTCACTCCCCCCCCCCCTTGATACATGGTGAACCCCAGGGGTCACGAATTTTCAGCACTACCTCAAGACCTCCATCAAGTAGCCATCAGCCAACAACTGGCGATTGATTGATCTAGACATCAGTTAGACAGATCACTTAAAATTAGCCCGGGTACATTGCACAGCTATTTCGTCCTTATTTTTGGGGGTATTTTGCCACACTTTAATTGAATTTGAGATTTTCCCGTCGATTGATTGGACCGAAGTGCTCAGCCTCAGGTTCACATGTCGGGTTCTTGTGCAGATGCTTCGACGATATCTGAGCATTCAATCAGTATTTAATTTGTGGATGGTGACTAGCAGTGGAATCTGGAATAACGCGCATTTCGTCCCATTTGGGACTCGTCATCTGGAAGTTTCAAACACTAAAGGGTTTTCCACTAGACCACTTGGGCCACGAGAGCCACCTTTTGTGCAACGGGTCATATTAATTTAATTGAATTTGAGACTTTCCAGTCAATTGATTGGGCCGAAGTGCTCGGTCTACTCAGGTTGATATATCGGCTTCTTGTGCATATGCTTCGATGATGTCTGGGCATTTAATTAGTATTTAGTATTAGTTCGAGCCTCATTGGTTGGAACATCATCACTCACTGAGAAATGCAGGTACATCCAGTTGCTGACGAATTAGTCCCAAATAGGACGAAATGTGCGTTACCATCTAAACAACTAAATTTTACCACACTGTTATCGAGCATTATTCATCATAAAATATTTTTCTACTTTTCGTGTTAATCAATCTTCGTATTGTTGTTCTTTCTATTTGCCCCTCCATCAAGGTCAAGACATGGTTTCAAAATCGTCGTATGAAACATAAAAAACTGAAACGCTGTATTCCTGATACACAATTATTTACACAGAATAATTCTTCATCGAAATGTCCAAGTTCAACTGGCGGTGAGGATGATGACGAAGAAGGTGATGATGATGGTGATGGCGGTGATGGTGTTGAACAGGATGAAGATGACAGATGTTCAAGTGTTGGTGAAAATCCTAATGTGACAACAGTAGCCGTAACAAGAACAACGGCAACTGCTCCCCTTTCTTCTCCTACTGCAAATGATAACAATGACACTGGCCCAAATCACAAAAATCAAGAGAACATCGACAATAATGATGATAATAATAATAATCATAATAATATTGATGCTGAAGTGGTGCAATACCCTCAGACGAAAACTGTCAACACAGCCGCCGCCGCCACCAATACACATTCAACTGGATCTACAAAGCTAGATGACTATTCCAAAAATTATCATTCAGCATTTTTGTCTACCGTTTCGTTGATATCTTCACCGCCTCTAACAACCATCACCTCCTTACCCTTTTCATCATCCTTTCCGTGCAACTGTTATACATCAACGGCATCATCAAATAACACTGATCCTAAAGGCTGGACAAATTTTTCATCACAACTTAAAATGAATGATTTGATCAAAAACTTTTTAACTTATGATATGATCGATAAGGGTTATTTAAGATCCACCTTGGACTATATTAACAACAATAATAATAAAATTTGTGATGTTAATAATATTATTCCCCTTCAAAATGATACGCATTACACAGCAGATAATCTCAGTATTAACAATAATACACTGTTAAATGATGAGTACTCATTGAAAAAGTAGACAGACTTATGTATTCAATTCAATAATTATGTATATATTGCCTTGTTTACAAGTATCATTTCCCCTGCCCTCACCTCTGTCTAACACACACACACACACTCTCTCTCTCTCGTTAGTATCCTTCCCAAACAGATTGATGAAGAGGGGGGTGGGAATGGATTATGAAGACAGGATCATTTTAATTTCTCCTCATATAGTTAGTGTGTTACGTAACACTGGCCCACATAAGATCAAATTCAACAATATGTTATGCACATTAAATTAATACTGTTTAACCTGTAACAAAACTGATGATATATATTCCTGATAATTTTAATTTTTGATTGATAAACCTTCCACATCATTTTAATCCTTTTTTTCTTTGGTTTCGAAAAGATTCAGTGAACAACAATAGGGATGATTACGTAAGACTGGGTGGGATGTAATAACAATAGTAAAAGTCATTTTTAACTAAATAATATCAAATTTTTAATTACATGCATACTGGAAGATTTCAATTAAAGAACTAATGGAAATCTAGCATAGAATAATGGGGAGTTGTTTCATCCTCCTTTAGAACTCTTCAGGTGTGTTATTAATATTATTATTATATCCTTTAATTCCTAGAGGAACATAGGGCTTCAGCTGCACGCCTCCATTGCCTTCTGTTTTCTGACAACTTTTTCACCCCGCTCCAAGTCTGCCCACATGCTTTCATCTCCTCTTCACATCACCTCCTCTGAGTCACCCTCACACTAACGACAAACTCGCCGCTTCCCATTCGGCGGGTTCCACTCGAGCAATGGCTTGTCCAGTGATGTCACTCACTTGATGGTTTGTTTTCTCACAGTATGGCCAATCCATCTCCATTTCTTACTGCCTATTTGTTGCACAATCGGTCTCGGGTTGGTTCGTTCAATGCCAAAGATCCCTACCTGCCGCAGATCTGTTCTGGTCGGCCATCTGACCTTGAGTAGTATTGAGTGAAGACAGCTGTTGATGAAGGTGTGTAGTTTGTTTGAGGTGCTCTTTATGACGAGCCAAGTCTCTGACCCATATGATGAGTAGCACTGACTTCACATTGGAGTTGAAAATCCGGATCTTATTTTGCATGCTGAGTGTGGTGTGCTGTTGGCCTCCACACAGACTTGAGAGTAATGAAAGCTTGTCTTACTTTTCCGATCCTTGTTTTGATATCCTCATCAGTTCTATCCGCCCGTAGCTGAAACGATGCTTCCCAGGTAGGTAATGGAGGTTGTTTCTTTCAGATTCCTCCCATTTATGCAGGCTGATTTTTGTCTGTTGTTGTTGTCGCTGTTGATGTTGGCCAAGAATCTTCATCACCTCTGTCTCCACCTCCTCTATGTTCACCTGAAGTCCCATCTTCTTTGGATGCTTCTTCCACCGCCAACTTGTTGCTTTTCACTTGCATATCTTCCAGTTTGTGGGAAATTAGACACATATATCATCGGCGAAGTCCAGATCCTCCAAGTTTTTTGTGTGAGTCCATTTGGTGCATGTTTCCTCTTTGCCCGATATGTGTCTGTCGCATTATCCAATCTACTGCAATCAGGAAAATCATTGGCGATAATAGACAGCCTTGCCTCACTCCCGTCCTCACTTCGAAGGATTCCGTAATTTTCCCGTTGTATATTACTTGGCATCCAGCATTGTCGTATAAGTGTCGGATGAGATGTATAATTGTCGATGGGACCCCGTAGTAGCGAAGTAGTTGCCAAATCACCTCTCGATCGAGGCTGAGCTATCGAAGGCCTTTTCATCAAAGTCGAGGAAGTTGAGTGAGGTGGAGATGTGACTGCCATTCCAATCTCTCTCCAATGATGATCCGCATTGTGGCGATTTGATCAACACGTGACTTGTTTCTCCTGAATCCAGCCTGTTTTGGTCGAAGTTTTCCATCCAGGGTGGCTTGTTTGATTCTCTCCAGGATGATGCGGCTTAGTATTTCTCTTGGGATGCACAGGAGCATAATCCCGTGCCAGTTCTTGCATTGACTTAAGTCTCCTTTCATTGGTAGTTTGAATATAATAATAATATTATTATTATTATGTTTTTAGAAACCTCACATAATAAGCAAGAAATGTTGCCCTCCCCCTCTTCACCCACCCACATACACACACAGAAAAGTCTACTACAAGTAATCTTACTACAAAGGAGCAATTATTCCCTCAAATAACAAAACAACTCGTTGAGTATAGCCATTAGTTTATTTAACATTTCACACCGTTCTGATATTTGTTTTTAAAAAACACATATCAGGCAACTGACAAAATATCGTGTAAAATGCCAAAACAACCATTTGTTTTTTGTGCATAAAATATAACTCACTTTATGTTCATCAAAAATTGTAATTTGCGCCAAATGTAGCGCAATTTTTTAACACATAAAAACAACTAAAAATTTAACATTGAATGTGAATATTCAAAATGCATACAGATTTCATAAGTATAGCCATCCTTGTAGTTATAGTAACAATTATTGTAAACAAACAGATGCCCTGATATATATATATATATATATTTTAAAAGGGAATTATAGAAATAATGTTGTGGAGAGTAGGATAGGATGGATAAGGGGGAATATGGCGGATGGAATAAACTGATGAGCAGTTAGTTGGATTACACATGCGCATACACCATGCGTTGTTTAGATTGGTTTAATCTTTCGATTCGTTCGTAGAATAATTAAGGTGAATAAAATTAATATTATCTGAAATGCAGAGAAAATGTTGTGGGAAGTTAGTTTATAAAATGAAAAGCTCTTAATAATAATAATCTACTTTATCCCAAAAATGACAGTACTTATAATACAGAATGGAATTCTTAGCATTTGTCACAACACCTTGCATCTGATTTACTCAAAATTTAAATAAAATTAAAAATTAAAACAAAATTAACCAGAGGAATATGTCCACGCTTACGATATAAAGTCAAAAATATTCGAAGCACGAATTGAGAATAATAAATATCGTAATAATAACAGTGAGTTTGTTTCAAACAGTATTGTCGATTCAGTTTGGAAATTTTAGCATGTTACTATAGATTATTGAACCGAATGTTCTGTTGGTATAGCAGAATGGTGAGGGGAAATACAAAATTAACAGTTATAACACGGCTTAAATGATGTTCACACTCATGAGAAAATAAACAAATAAAAACAAAAAAATTGCGAGGATTTTAAATAAAAGAGGAACAATAACAATAAAGCTCAGTAGAACAAGGATCGAGAAAATGGTTTATTTACTAGTGTTTAGAAGGTTTGTTAGTTCATGCCTAACACTGTTTTTATCACATAAAGTACGTGCAGCCAAATATGGTATCGTGGAATTCTTATATTTAGATGTACGTGCATAAATTCTTTTAAAATGACTTCTTGTTTTACCTGAGGAGACACAAGGTTGGAACTGCGGGTACTGTAGTGGATGGTAACAGTCGGACAAAATCCCTTTTGCAAATTTGTTGTATGATATCAAGTGCCTATCAGTGAAAATGTCAACGATATGGCCCAATGGGATACCACTCGTCCTACTGACAGTCAGTCTTCAGAGTTCTACGAAGTATGACATATTCCTTTGTAAGTAATCAAGGAAAGAATAAGCAAGGGTGAACAGTAAAGAAGAATACGTAAAATACACGAGTTGAGAAACTGTAAATGGAGTGGTTGGGTTATGCCTGAGTGCCTTAACTTCATAAATGTAAAAAGTCAGACAAAATATTCCTTTAGAAATCGCTAAGATATGGGGGATGACCAGAATGGGTGAGAAGGAAGAATTAATCCAAGATACTTAATTTCAGACTTGGTTCCTATATCAGTATCATCAATTCTGCAAGGGTTATAGGAACCAACAATTTCAATTAACTTTCTTTTACATCGGAAATATCATGCCTGTGAAGACTGGGCTGTCCCAGCTGAGGATATCCAGCAACCATGTTATCAGTGTCGGTGAACGTCGAATAGTTTGTTTGTTCAACCTGGTCTCCATATTGGTGGGAGACAAGGAGACTGTCACTGCTTAATCGTGTATTGACTGGTAGATTGTATTTACAAACTTTAGCACTGAATAACCACTGTAAATCGCTGTTTCTTTTTCGCTTGAAAAATAAATAATCGTGTTGCCCAACCGGTTTCTGTTGTTCCGCGTCGATTACAGTACATAGTGTACTGAGTATTACGCTTAATCTTCTAAAATCAGCAATAGGTCCAGGATCTCAACGATCCGGATATTTGGCACCTGCTGTCTCCACGATAATACTTGCACCTACTGGTGTCAACCTCCAAAAATAATCCTGAGGTTTTACTTCGATAACTTGGATATGTTTTACTAGTGTACTTTTCTAGTGACTTCCATACTGTTCACACTTAACACACGATGGAACTAGCTGAAAGAAAATAGGAGGTTATCAACACATTGCATAACACTACGCAGTCGTGACAGTTATTTTTGCTTATGCATTCGTAGTGCTCCAGGATTCACTGAGTGAAATTCTGATGGTTATGCAACCTAGTGGATCAAAGTTTTGTCAGACTCAGGGGAAAAATCGTTGAGGAAAGTAGTGCAGAGTAATATGCAACTGCCTGAATTCCCTTGGTAAGTATGTCTACCTGTTTTCTTTATTCTCTTATCCCTCTACTAATTTATTTCTGTCTTTATCATATATTATTATTGTTCCATTGGGTTCCTAATGGAATATAGGGCTTCAAATGCACGTCTCCACTCGCTTCTGTATTGCTTCCGCTGTATTTTCAACTCCTTTCAACTCCTCTTCATACCATCTCCTCCATCTCGCCCTCACACTGACGACTCACTCGCCGCTTCCTTTTCGGCCTGGTTCCACTCGAGAAATGGCCTGACGCGCACGCGATGTCACCCAGCCCAGCGGCCTCCTCAGCCGCGAGTGTCCAATCCATCTCAATCCACTTTCTCCTGCATATCTGTTGGTTGGCGATTAATTGGTTCTTGTTTTGTTTGTTCCTTCCCATAATTTCGTGTTGGTGATTCTTTCCGGCCCGGCCATCTCATCTTCAGTATAGAGCGATAGTTGACAGTTGTCGGCTGATAAAGGTAACGTCTGCAACAGGCCGTTGGAGATATTCTTTGTGACTCGCCCGCCCGCCAAGTTTCTGATCCGTATAGAAGAGCTGACTCACTTGACGTTGTTTGTATTGAAAATCCGACGGAATTTTGTTGTTGATTCTGGCTGAGTGACAAAGACTTCCAGATCAGATTGGTTTCAGGTTGATGAGTGAATATGTTTCTCGCTCGCCTTCCCGATTCTCGCTCGATTTGACATCCTCATCCGTTCCTCCTCGTGTAGTTGAGACAATGCTCCCTAGATGAAAAGTGAATGAATGAAGTGACCTCTCTCAAATCCCTCCCGTTGATGGTGATTGGCGCTGGATGTTGCTGCTATTGTTGTTGTTCGTGGTGGTGGTCGGATATTTTCATAGCCTCCGTCTTGTCTATGTTCACCTGGAGTTCTGTCTTCGCTGGCTGCTTCTTCGACCAGTTTGTCGATCGGTTTTCGCTCGCTTGTAAGTCTTCGATTTTGTGGCAGTGGCATCAAACATAACTCATCATCCACGTGTGAAATCCAGGTCTCCTAGGTTCTTTACGTCTGTCTTTCCAGGATATCCCTGTCTTCTCGTTTCCCACTCACTGTCTGACTCATAATCCAGTTCACCACAATTAGGAATATCATTCATTGGTGATAATAAGCACCCTTTACCATATGACTGTTCTATTATTTCATCTGACACAATTCTTGGTGCATCAACTGCTATCAACAAAAGAAATCTAAGCGAAATCATGTTGTTTAAACAACAGGCAAACAGCATGGATGACGGTGTCAGATGCACAGTCGGCAAACTTCAATAAAATCTGAAATCAGTGTGTGGAAGTATTGCCACACTCAGAGTAAGAAACAACATCTGAAGGCACAACACTGATATCAAGTCAGCGCTTCTATTTTGGTTCATAGACTTGGTGTGGGTCTCACCAAAAGCATCCCCAACAGACCGCTTAAGATTTTCATCAACAGCTGGTTGTCTACACTCTATCACACTAAAGTTTAGAAATCAGGTTAGAAACGATAGGCAACAAGAAATTCTGTCAGATAACTCAGCAACCAAGAGCCTATTGCCCAACAAAAATGTACGGAATGAAAGGGAGATGGGCTGAACACACAAACACACTGAGGAGACCACCGAGTAACGCCACACACACACACAAAGCCGTCTTTTGGGTGGAACCCGAATAGGTAACGACGAGTTGGGGCGTTGGTTCGGCAGTAACCTGGAGGAGATGACAGCCTGTGGGCAGTCGTGGAGCTAGCCAAAAAGTAATGCAGAGAACAGAGTATTGTTGAAGCCCTGTGTTTCAGTCGGAATCGGTGCTGATATAGGACCAAGTTGGTGTTTGAAAGGGACAGATGAAGGTGTGGTGAGAGCTGCCCGCTAGCCGAACTGGTTGACAGTAATTTACGTCAGTGTTTGTGTCCCCAATATTCACCGTGAGAAAAATAAGAATAAAGAGTGATTCAACAATCAATCACAGAAGACTTTGCCTAGGCGGACACAGTCAGCATACAGATGATCTGACGTCCGCAAAACAGCTACCAAAAGTTGAAAGAATAAAGTTCAATGATAAATCACCAATCAGAAGACTATGTCTTTCCGCTGACAATAATCTATAACAATGTACATGAAAATCTGTAAATATCTGTTGATTTCTTAAATAAACAATCTGTTTCCTGGCTTTTGCCTTCTGTTGTTAAATTTGGTGTCGCTGCCTACCGACATATGGAAAGCCTTTGCCCTGCAGTTTTTGATAGAGACATATGGATCTTCGAACAGGACTTCGAGACTTCTACGCAATTAAGTGGCGTTCCAGAACTGTCAGCGATAAGGCTGTTACTCGGGACGCCGCTGGGAGGTCGGTAGAAAGCAGCATATGAAAGTGTGGGGCGAAATACTGACGAATGTGTGACAGCGTCAGGCAAACAGTTTCCAAAGTGGGAAGGACTACATATGGTCACTTTGAGATGGAGTTACGCAGACACAATCGCAGTGGTAAACAAAGAGAAACAAGTGAACACCAGCGAGCGCCGAGATTCAAGACGGCAAGACAAACGAACAAAGCCTTTAGAACCAAGAAGACGGAACGAACTTCAGTCGCAAGTCTTTGACGGGGGGACGAGTGTGGTGAGTGCTGGCTGCTAGTCAAAAGTGGTTCACAGTAATTTACGTCAATGTTTATATCCCTAATATTGGTCGTGAGAAAAATAAGAACAAAGACTGATTCAACAACCAATCACAGCAGACTTTGCGCAGGCAGATACAGTTGGCATATATAGTGTACTTAAAACTATCGTCTTATGAGCAATTTCTGCACAGATAAGGAGCTACCGAATTAAAAATATATATATCCTATGTTAGCCTTTATTTCATTGAATGTACTATCAACACACTAATCGTTCTCACACATATTAGATTTCAGTAGATCGCTTTTCAGACCGTTAGACACTGAAATAGCCTTGGAAGTGCATCAGCGACGTGAATTACAACGAATTCCTTCACCTTTAAGGCAATGAGGAGAACGACGCTTCCAGAAATTCTAGGTCATGTAACAGCGGAACACGATAGTATCTGGCTGATAAATTCTAATCGGTCTGGCTATCTGGCTACCTTTGCTAGCTCACCAGTGTCCATGGGTTGCATGGCGTTAACCAGTAGTGGTTGCTAGGAAATGTGGTCTGGAGCACTCGACAAAACTAGGATGCCAACAATCGCGCCTCAGACAATTTATCAAGTGTGGGTAGTGTGAGGTGAAGTAGATTTCTCAACGGTCCTGATTTCGTGGCACGGAACCACCTCATTGCCTGATGCCAAACCTGGCATCCATCCTTTCCACCAATAGCTTTCCAATCTCCTTCAGACTTGCAGACTGCACGATATCGTAGGCCACTTTTGTCCGACTTCCCAGCAACGTCTGGTGCACAATTTTCTTTGCAGTCGGACTCTGAATGTCAACCAACCCAGTAATGGCTCCGAAGTTTCACAAGATCCTCCAAGTGTCTCCTTCTTTGAAGCGAGTAGGCCATGGTATCTTCCTTCAGTCGTAGGTACAGAAAATGCAAATGGTACTAGGTGACGGTAGTATTTGGTAGCGGCATTGTGTTATTGGCGAATCGATGTACAGATATGGCAAAATATGGAAACTCTGCACTGGAACCTCCATTTGCACATGCTCTCTGCACAGGGCCTATTTCGTCTTCCTTTCATACGGTATTTCACAAGGATCTTTCACTTGTCCTTTTCACCATCTAATCCGTTACTCCACCATTCGATATTCTTCCAGAAGACAAAGCACACAATATATATTACTTTTAAAGATCTTATCAGTAGTATCACTCACAAAATAATATGCACTTCAAAGGGATCCAGAGTCACTGGAGTTGATGCATGTTTTTTCTTAATCCTTTATGTTCCCGCTGGAACATAGGGGGCTTCAAGCTAGAGGCCTGAAGTTTCGGTAGCAGTGGGGTTTATTTTTTACAGGATAGGGTTGCTAGCCAGCCTCATGCCCAGCCTTCCTTCTTTACCACTTTTATTACTGGCTTAGCTAGCTAGGTAAAGGAGTGCCTCGGTGGCAGGGAATCGAACCCCGAACCACATGAGGCGTGGTTGGGGGGCATTATGTGCCACTGTGCCACCGACACACGAAGTTGATGCTTAGTCATCATCAGTAAGGAAAACATATTGAATGACAATCACTAAATACCACTTACTTGAAATCCTAGTACTCCACTGAATGTATAAGCGAATAGATTGGCGAATGTTTTAACATGGCCCTCTATTATCTGCCAACATCCAACATGTACATTACTATTCTCTGGTGTAAATCGATCCGGACAACTGTCATCATTGATTTCTTGACTTTTATTCATCATTTTACAACAACTGATTGGATATTTAAATTCTGAGTAGTTTTCATGATTGATTTGGATAGGCGTGTAGGCGTGTAAAAAAAGAAGAAGAAGAAGAGGAGGGGAATAACAGGAAGCGTAGAATTCAATCAATAAGCAAAGATAAAACTTGAGTTTGTGCAATTAATAGTGTTCTCTGAACTGGTTGGTTTAGTTGCGGAGCTTACGTCATTCCCCCTGCTGGACAACATCACCTTCAACACCAACATATAATCTATTTAAAGAAATTTTCAGGAAATTAAATTACCTAACAGAATTATGCGACCATTCTATCAATCCATTCGTCAATCCAATTTTTAGAGTAAATCATAAACATTCAAGTAGACGACAATGAAATAATGGTGTTTTTTGATGGTATCACAGCATTATGTCCACTTCAATTAGTCCAAAACTAGCAACAGAAACTATGCAACAATTACGCCATAGTGATGAAAACATAAAAACGCAGTGGTGTTCAACTTGGATAGAACTCATCAAAAATTATGCCTTACAACAACATACTTCCAATTCAATACTCAAATATCTGAACAGACGGAAAGGAACACCAATGCGATCATCGCCCATATCAGGATTAATAGCTGAAGCCGTGATGCAAAGATTAAAATTAACAGCTGTACCAACTATAATTAAACCAAAAATCTGGACAGGTACGTTACGTTGATGATACATTTGTAATAATTAAGAGAAATGTGATTTAGAATATACTCATAAATTAATAAACAACATATTTGAAGACATCAAATTCACAACGAGAGAAGAAGAATTAGAAAACAAAATCCCATTCCTCTTAGATGTCTTAATCAGGAGGCAAACTAACACAGGAAATTTAAAAAACACAAGTATATATAGAAAATCAACGCACACACACACACAGATCAAATACTCAACTATACTAGCAACAATCCAATTACTCACTCACAAAAGAAACTGTGTACAGACATTAATCACAAGAGAGTTTAAACACAACACTGTAGCACTCCGGAGTTGAAAAGAATTGAAGAAAAATACCTACAAACGGTCTTCAAGAAGAAGAAGAATGGTTATCCCCACGACAACTTCATCAAAAAGTGTTTAAAATCCAATCACAACACGAACAAGGAACCATCATCAAAGACCACAAGAAAAAAATTCATCCTACCATACATGAAAAATATCTCTGAAATAACAACAGCTAGAATACTGAAACCGTTTGATATAGACATAGCCAGCACACAAGCCAGCCAGCCAGCCAGTCAAATCGCTTAATTCGATATTATGCAAACCGAAAGACCCATCGAACAGAAAAAGGAGAAAAAACGAGATTAATACCATTTACAAAATAAATTGCATGTATGAACTGTAACAGGCATTACATCGGTGGTATAAGTGGGCGTCCATCCCCTTCGAATCAGAATCCAGGAACACAAATCGGCTGTGAAAAGACACGATATATATATATATATATTCCTGTTTCATATCAACGCATATAGACAATTATGGACATCAGTTTGGTGATTGGGATAATGCTGAAAACTTAGACAAAGGAAACATCACCAAATGTGCAGTCAGGGAATTCCTAGAAGCCAAGCATGGTACTCACTCAAACGAATATGCAATTAACAAACGCGTTAATACAGATCAAATATACCACCAACTGATAAAAGTAAATCATATGAACAGAAAGTTTAAAGTCCAAGTCAATAGAAAATGATCAATACATATGTAAAGATGGTTACCGGGAGAGGCAATTAAATCACTCATGAAGAAATTTAAATCATTTGACTTCATGCTAAATATTCCGCTGAAAGAGGATGTTATCCAGTAGGAGGGACGACGAAATCTCCGCAACTAAACCAGCCAGCTCAGAGAACGCTATTAAATGCAAATCATCAATCTGAGCTACAAATCTTCTCTATTATAACGAGTTTATTGTGAAATAAATCAAATACAGCTATTAAGACTCTTTTTTTCAGTTCATCCCCTTCTGGATGAAATATAAGACTCCAAACTTCAAGCTTGAACTTTGAAGTTTCACTAGTTGTAGTGGGTGTTGTCGAGTTATGCAGGTGAAGTTGGTAGTCGTATATCTGCAGCCTTCCTTTCTTTTTTCTGAGCGTACTATCAGCTAGTCAATTAGGGCAGCACTAGGATCGCGTAGGACCGCGGAACTGACGAAGATATCAAAGCAAGAATCGGAAAAGCAAGACAAGCTTTCATTACTCTCCAGTCTGTGTGGAGGTCAACATCACTCACCATGAAAATGAGGATAAGATCCGGATTTTCAACTCTAAAATGAGGTCAGTGCTACTCACTATATAGATCAGAGACTTGGCGCATCATAAAGAGCATCTCAAACAAACTACAGACCTTCCTTAACGGCTGCCTTCGCTCAATACTAGTCAAGATCAGTTGGCTAGCCAGAAAAGATCAGAAACAGGTAGGGACCTTTGGCAATGAACGAACACAGCCAGCAGAAACTGACTGTGAAACAAATGAGCAGGAAGAAGTGGAGGTGGATTGGATTGGCCATACTCTGAGGAAACAAACCATCAAATGAGTGACATCACTAGAGAAGCCATTGCTCGAGTGAAACCTGCCTAAAGGGAAGCGGCGAGTTGGTTGACATTGCGAGGGTGACATGGAGGAAGTGATGTGAAGAGGAGATGAAAACATCTGGGCAGACATGGAGCCAGGTGAAAACTCTAGCAGAGAACCGAACGCAATGGAGACGCGCGGCTGAAGCCCTATGTTCCTCTAGGAATTAAAGGAAAAAATAATAAGGATCGCGTTGGCGAGCATCTCACCATGAAACCATTTTCTCGAAAAAGGATGAAAAGTAAGTTTATTTTAAGAGCTAATTTGTACGGATTTGATTTGCTTTTGTTTATGTTTGACCACGGATTAATATAACATTAGGGAATCATTAAAAAAAAAACCACCAGAGAGTACTGGACAATGGTCGTTTCGTCCCATTTTCAGGCTCTTCAGTAGCATTCATCCACTGAGTTTCTAACCTATGATAACCTTCCGTTTTCAAAGCAAAACTCATAGACCATTGAAACACTGGCACTCGATCCGAATGACCAAACGATGAATTCCGCCTCCCCCCCCCCTACCAAATCGTAATTTTAGCACGATCATCAACAAGACAATGCCATCAGTGAGTATTTGTTTGCACATCCGACCTGCTGGATCTCACGACTTCTCACTAGAATTGTAGACAAATTGGTTCTTTATTCAGTCACTAGAGAGAGAACATCAAGAAACAGTCACAAAGAGATGAAAGATTAATTTTCTGTGAGGAGCAACCAATCAGAAGACTGTGTTTTTCTGCTAACAATAATCTATAATAATGTACATGAAAATATATAAATATGTGTTGATTTCGTGAATAAACGATCTGTTTCCTGGCCGTCGTCTTCTGTTGTTACACCTCTTCTACAATTTGTGTGATATTTGCAGTCTGTTTCAAGAGTGAAGGTTCTTTGCTGCATCTCTACGCCTCACCTTTACCAAACATGATCTTCTCTCCCAAAATGTCAAAGACAGTATCTTGCTGTTGTCAACTTCAATGTGCATTTACCAGTTGACTTGATAGTTTGGAGTCAAGTATATAGGCCGTATCAGAAGCACACCATCTAGACGCTCCTAGGAATATTTACCAGAGTGAACGTATTCAGCGGAGAATTCAGAAAAGTCAACAACTCAATTCTGAAGGACATTATTACTCCCAGTCATACACAGCATCCGAACAGACTTCATCCACAGTCATTGACTGACGATGCCCATCGATGTTGGTTGGGCAACTTTATCACCCTTGGTTCTCTGCCTCTTCTACCAAATTGTTGAATTTCCTCTGTGGATCTTTGAGTTTGTGTGTGCGACATTAAAAATAATAATCAATAGCAAGGCTGAGATCTTCCAGTGTCTTCTCATCGGCTTTAAACTTAATATTACCATTGCCATCTTAATATATGTTTTCATAATTATTTCTCTAAAATAATAGCCTTAAGTAGAGGTTTCCGAAATTCAGGAGAGGGTATTCAATTTATGACATTCTAGTCTTAATTTCGCAGTAGAAGAATATATAACGAGTTGATCACGGATTGATCATATCAGTTAGAGAACCATTGAAAACCAACACCGGCGTACTGGACTGGACAGCTGTTTCCTCCTTTCTAGGTTTGGAATCACCGACAGTGCGCACCCACCAAAAGGGTTCAAACCCAGGACCTTCCGGTTACAAGACCAGCAAGCTCGTATAACATTCAACAACTGGGACGCGATTCAATGGCCAGCCAGCCAATGAATTCTAACTTCTACCGATTCATGATGCATTTAGCGTGGCCCTAACCATTGTCGTTGGTGGGACATCCATCCATACACGTGACATCTAATTGGACCTCACTGGTCACGAATTCCCACTAGATGCCAACGATTTCCGAACTAGGATGAAACAGCAGCTGTCCAGTACTCCCTGGTTTTCAATGGTTCTCTAACTGATATCAACCTATGGTCAACTCGTAAAAACATAACTAACCCTTACAAACCAAACTATAGAAAATTAGTGATCTAGCGCGACCACCAAACAATGTCATCGTTGGGACATCCATCCTCACACTTGACTTGATGGACCTCACTGCTCACAACTTCTCACGCACTAAATCACGAATCAGTAGGAGTTAGAATTCATGGGTTGGGCGCTGAATTGGGTCCCAGTTGTTGAATGGTATACGAGCTCGCTGGCCTTGTAACCGGAAGGTCCTGGGTTTGAACCCTAGCAGTGGGTACGCACTGTAGATGATTCCAAAACTAGGAAGGAGAAAACAGCTGTCCAGTCCAGTACTCCTTACAAACCAATCATAGAAAAGTAGAATATAAGACAAATAAACTGTCAGATTTCTAGACTTAAATCTAGTAAAAACAGAGTTGAAAGTACTCCGGAAATATCCTTATGTAGAAAGATTTGATGAACGGCACAGTGTACACAATTTAGGATTTCTTTTTCTTATCCATTAAAAAAGGAAGTACAATTAGGGCATTGTTCGGTGGTTGTTATGCACCAGAACGCCTGCCAACCAAGCTACTTGAGGTCTAGGATTCGATTTTTGGCTGACACAGACAGCCACTTCTAAACCTCGTTAAGCCTATAGTAAGACAGGTAAAATGGCGGGAAGGTTGGATATGAGGCTAACAACCACCCCTCACCACCGTAAAAAGAATCTACTGTTACAGAAACTCTAAAGCTCTACTTTGAAACTCTATGTTGCATTCCGAAAATAAAGGAATAAAATAAAATAATTATAATGAGCAGATCATGGAAAATCTGTCCCAAAAGTACAACTAAATAGGAAGACAAGGATGATATCCTGAAAGTGTGGAAGTTTGAAAAGCTCTCCTGACACCTTCATTAAACTCTATATACATCAGCTTGACATTTAAAGTAGACTAATTATAAGAATGAAGTTAAATGAAGGCTTTGGTAAATGGTGTGAGACGAACCTATTATACTCCAAGACGTATATTGGTCAGTGGCATGAAGAGGGTACTGCGACAATTTGGAAAAGATCAGATTCTCATCCTTGACACCCATATAGATTGATTTCAGTGTATCTGCGAAAGCAAACAAATATGTCGTACAGAAAGGTAAGTGACTCCAAATGAGATGATTGTGCACCTTCCTAAGTGCTCACTCGAGATATGTCAAAAACTAAACTACTCAAGAGTTCTGAAACGAATTATCTTCTGGAATACGAGTATGACAGTGACAGACTCAAGTCATTCACTGTTGTTGACAGGCAAGTAAGTAGAAACACAAGATTTGAGATTTCAGGAGCTTGAGCAGTTAGAGTATATAAACCAGGTCTTCTTTTGATGTGGTTGTGTTCTTTGAGCTGGATAGTTAGTTAATTTGTGAAGCTTTCATCCCCCCTATACTGGGCGACATCTTCAGCGCATACACTTCAATTCTATGAAGTGAGCTTTTAGATTTCTCCACGAGCTGATTAATTATCTCTCTCTCGGTGACCTGACCTTGAACAGGATTAGTTGTTTTTGTGTGGTTTCACATCTTCTAGGTTACTTGTATTGGAACTGATTGTTTCTTTGACTTGAACTTTGACCCTTTGTGTCTGTGTGTGTGTGAGGTTTCTTTCTTATCGGTTGATAAATTTTGTCTATCTCGATGTGTCTATTGATTGATGATTCACTGGAAAGCTAGCCAAGCTTCTAAAAATTCTCTAGCATTCTTGTAGTGTCCTCTGTGTAATATTTGAACACTGGTTGTCCCAGTCGAATTAATATCCGTGGTTGTCTGTATGCATCGAGTGATATTGGGGAGTGGATATCATGTATTTTGACGGCTAGCTTATGTTCGTGGATACGAAGACGAAGGGGACGTCCACTTTGACCAATCTAGTGTTTTACGCAGCTGTTACAATTTATTTTGTAGATGATTTTGATTTTATCTTCTTTCGCTGTTGAGTCTTTTGGTTGACATAGAACCAGCTGAGTGATAAAGTGGTTTTATTGGTTTGTATACGACATCAATTCCTAAAGGTTTGAAGAGTCTTGTAGTGATTTCTGAGATATCCTTTATGTACGGTAAGGCGATTTTCTATGTGCTTATCTTGGGGGCATTTGGTTTGATAGGTTGGCTTGGGGATATATGTCTTCTGATGGAATTCCCTGGATATCCATTGATTTGGAAGAGGTCCATGAGATATCTTTCTTCACTTTTCCTTAAGCTGTGGGTGCTGCAATGAATCCTGGCTGGCCCTCTTGAATAGTGTTTGTATGCAATTCCTTTTGTGTGTTATTGGATTGTTGCTGTTGTAATTCAGGATTTGGTCTGTGTGAGTTGATTTTCTATAAAATTGAGTTTCTAATTCCCCTGTGGTTGTTCGCTTAACTAAGATGTCCAAAAATAGGATCTGGTTCTCGGATTCCTCTTCTCTTGTGAATTCGATGTCGTTGAAAACGTTGTTTATTAAGTTGTGAGTTTTAGCCTAACTCGTTTCTTTTGATTATTACAAATGTGTCGTCAACGTAACGTATCCAAATCTTGGGTATGATCTTTGGTACTATTTGCTTTGTCGATTAAAGGATCCTGCCAGTGGAACCTTTAAAACAAAACAATTTAGTGTCTACAATGATTGTCAGTGAGGTCAAATACATAGGTCAGACTAGTAGGACAGGGTCAGTCAGACTAGCCAAACATAAAAACCTAACAGCAAAATCTAGATTGGTTAACCCAAATTGATCTTTGGTAGAATTATGTTTTTCAAGCCTTTGCATCACTGCCTCTGTAATCAAAGCTTCGCAAATTAACTATCCAGCTCAGAGAACACAGCTACATCAAAATCATCCACTTGAGCTACAAATCTTCTCTATCATATCTAAATTAGAGTCTATCTATCTATCTTTCCAATATCTATCAGAAATAATAGAACTGTGTAAACGAAGTTTGAAAGTTTTGTCAATGCCTTGATATTGTAATTATGAAGAGTATTAATAAACTGGGCTCAAGACATCATGCGCAACTAATAGTGTGTCACTCAGTGTTGATTTTTATGAAGAACATTTATCCTCTGATTTTTGATTTACAGCTTGATTCCACACTGTATTTTCGGTACAAGTATGGAATTTTCAGCATGGATATCGGTAGCCCAAATTTTGCAGGCCGACCATAGATATCAGGTGTGCGTCGGTGCGGGCTCGAACCCCGGACCATGTGCATGGTCGGCGAGAGTCCTAACCACTGTGCCACCGATGGAGTTATACCCTACCACAGTACAAAATTCTATTCTCATATCAATGAAAGTGGGAAACATGTTTCTGTGATGACCAAAGGGATATCAGGCCAATAGGAATGTACTTGTATGATGAATAAGTGGAGAAGAACTCAAGAAAACCAACCAGTTATGAGGATCTTAGGTACATTCTGATGATGAGTCCTGAATAGTACGAAATGCACATTCTAATGGATTTCCACTGTTACTCGCTCTCCATCAAATTAATTCAGGTTAAATCTTGAGGTGAGTATAAGTGGTTTAATTTAATGCCAAAAACTAATAATCCCAGTAGGATGTATGGTGTTGTTAAAGTTCATAAATCAGGATACTCTATTAGGCCTATAGTTCATTTTAGAAATTCACCTACTTATGAATTATCTAAATAATTAGCCATGGTATTAAATCCCCCAAAAAGGCACTCGAAATCTAAAACTAAACCAGATTAGATAATTTAAAATTAGATAATGAAGAAAAAATGGTTACCTTTGATATTGTCAGTTTATATACACGTATACCAATAAATATGGCTATAGAGGCAGTCAGAAACGAACTCATTTCTGACCAAGAACTCGAACTAAGGACGAAAGAGCCACTTGAGGATATAATGCTGGGAGTGCAGCTATGCCTGACTTCCACAGTATTTAAATCCCAAGGGAAAATATACAAACAAACCAACTGAGGAAGTTGCCATGGGATCACCAATATCCCCCATTGTGGCAGATATATTCATGGATAGGTGAGAAAACATAGCGTTTGAAACGTTGAGCCCCACTCCAAAAGTATGTTGGAGGTATGTAGATGACACATTCACTGTACTTAGAACACAAGATATAGACAGATTTTTCGAGCACATTAACTCAAAGGTAGAGGCCCTTCAATTCACTTATGATGAATTGGAAAGTCAGGAAGGAAGGAAGGGGAGCTTCCAATGTTAGATTGCAACGTAGAAAGGAAAGAAGATGGGAAGTTAAACACACTAGTGTGTGTTTACAGGAAACCCACACATTCAAACAGATATTTGGACTTCCGATCATCCCACTTCCACATGTCAGTAAAATAGGATTGTTGAAATGTTTAAGTGACAGAGCATAAAACCTAAGTAGTACCAAAGAAAATCTAAGACAGGAAGTGATATACATAAAAAAACGCCTGGAACCTTATAATTAGCCGGATAAATTAGCCAGGAAACATGTAGGAAAGTGTAAAGCTAAAATAAATAATGTTAGTAGTGATAGTGATGATAATAATAGTAGTGATAACAACAATAATAATATTAATGACGACACCAATAATAAGGAATCTAAATCATCAGTAGTAATTTCATACAAGGAAGGAGCCTCGGAAACCACCTTACGCAGAATTCTTAACAAGGCAGACAGGAATAAAAGTGGCTGGCATTCAATCCCACCCCCACAAACTCAATTAGAAACAAGCTCCGTCGGTTAAAGGATCAATCCTCTGGAGCCTTTTAAACAAAACAATTTAGTTTATCTAATACCCTGCTTGCAATGATTGTCAGGTCAAATACATAGGTCAAACTAGTAGAACAGGGACAGTCGGACTAGCCAAACATAAAAACCTAACAGCAAAACCTAGATTGGTTAACCCAAATAATATAAGAAATCTAGAGAATAGTTCAGCTATAGCACTCACCACATGCAATTTTACACAACCATACAATAAGATGGATGGGATAAGATGACAGTTGTAAAATCTAATGTCACAGCAGGGTGGAGGGAGAGATTGATAACAGAAGCTTTGTTTATCGAATCAACTGCAAATACATGTAATAAGAATAATTCAACACCTGTCTCAGATATGTGGAAAATTCCACTACCGCTACGACGATAAATAGGAGAAGACAAAGAAAACTATAAAACTCAATTTTCAAAGTCGTGTGATTACATTTGATATGATTATGAACAATACTAGAATGTGTTTGAAACGTCATCCAGTAAATAATAATAATACTGTTTCAGTGACTGTGTGATACATCTAATCAACCAACTATTATGGAATTACTTACTACCACAGTGCCCAAGTTTTACACATATATAAATCCCCAGACATTGTAAAAACATTCACACAAGCAGTCGACATGTCGACGGAAGACTTGTACACACCTTAAATTGTAAATTTTTGAAAAAACCCTTTTTACTTACCATATGGTTCACCTTTATAAACGATATTCCGCTTAATTGTCTTGACACTGTCGAAATCACTTCCATTTGTAAGACCACAACACTGTAACTGTTGAGAAGAATGAAAAAAGAGAAAATAAATAAATAAAAATGCGACATAATAGTTATGTGGTGAGAGCTGGCTGCTAGCCAAATTGGTAGACAGCAATTTGCGTCAATGTTAATGTCCCCGATATCGGTCGTGAGAAAAATGAGAACAAAGACTGATTCAACAACCAATCACAGTAGACTTTGCGTAGACGGGTTTTTTTTCCTTCACGTTCCCCAGTGGAACATAGGGCTTCAAGGTAGTGGTTTGAAGTTTCTGTAGCAATGTTTATTTTACAGGATGGGGTTGCTAGCCAGCCTAATGCCCAACCTTTCCTCCTTCCCAGCATTATTTCTGACTCAGAGAGGTAAAGGAGTGCGTCTGTGGCCTGGAATCAAACCCCGGACCATGTGAATGGTCGGCGAGCGTTCTAACCACTATACCACCAATGCGTAGACGGATACATTTAGCATATAGATGATCTGACATTCAAGAAACAGTCAAAAAGAGACGCAACGTTAACTTTCTGTGAGAATGGGCTATAATAATGTACATGAAAATCTATAAATATGTGTTGATTTCGTAAATAAACGATCTGTTTCCTAGCTCTTGTCTTCTGTTGTTACAGTGACACTAACATTGAGGAACAGTGAAGAGTACACACGAATTCGTACTTGTATGCCCTCAGTATCCCTAAAACACTTTGTCAACTACTATAACTACTACCAAAACATAATGGTAAAAGAAGACTACAAAATGATGTGGGACTGTTTGCATAATGCCTTAGGTAGGTGAGTGAGTGAGTGTTATGTCTCGGTCGCATAGTATTTGTTTATCGTACATTAGCAAGATCTCAAACATACTCAGATTTTCGTCTGCACTGTTGGAAAGATTTTTTTGTATTCTGTCAACATCTTTATCCAGCATGGCTATATCGTCTGTGTGCTCTAACTGAACTAGCTCTTTACCTGATACTGAAGTTAGAAGTTATTCCAATAACCAGTGCGTCAGTGGCACAGCAGTTGGGACTCTCGCCGACCATGCACATGGTCAGGGGTACAATACCCTGCCGACGCTCACCCGATATCAATGGCCGGCCAGCAAAATTTGGCTACTGATATCACATGTTAAAAATTCCATACTTGTATCAAAAACACTGTGTGAAGTCAAGCTATAATAAGATGAAATAAGAAAATAATAAATATTATTTAAGCCAAGTTAAACTTTAAGCTCCAGTAGGTACCAGTGCAGCGCGACCACACCGGTGACCTTGTAACGCTCAGTCAGCGAGTTACTGAAACCCGGGAAATAATATTGTAATCATGAATAAAATACGCTTAATGTGAAGTGTTATGTTTTTTAAGTGGGATATCTGGTAAGTTTCAAGTTACGCTTGGGAAAGATTAAGTTGAGGTTTATTCTAAGGCCAGGTGAGGATTATTATTATTTCCTTTAATTCCTAGAGGAACAGAAGGCTTCAACCGCGCGTCTCCATTGCGTTCGGTTCTATGCCAACGTTTCCATGACCTGGCTCCACATATGCCCACATGCTTTCATTTCCTCTTCACATCATCTCCTCCTCCATGTCTTCCTCACACCAACGACGAACTAACTCGCCGCTTTCCTTTCGGGTTCCACTCGAGCAGTGGCTTGTCTAGTGATGTCACTCACTTGATGGTTTCCTCAGAGTATGGCCACTCCATTTCTTCCTGCCTATTTGTTGCACAATTGGTTCCTGGTGGGTTGGTTCGATCATTGTCACAGATCCCTACCTGTTGCTGATCTTTTCTGGTCGACCATCTGGTCTTGAGTAGTACTGAGCGAAGACAGCTGTTGATGAAGGTCTGAAGTTCGTTCTAATTACCCTTCGTGACGTGGCGCCAAGTCTCTGATCTTTACGTATATTAAGTAGCACTGAATTCACATTGGAGTTGGAAATCCGGATCTCGTTTTTCATACTGAGTGCGGAGTGTTGCTCTCCACAAAAATTGGAGAGCAATGAAAGCTTGACTTGCTTTCCCGATCCTTACTTTGATATCCTCATCAGTTCCGTTCGCCCTGCAGTTGAAACGATGATTCCCAGGTAGGTAGGTAGTTGGGTGAAGGAGGTTGTTTCTTCCAGGTTCCTCCTATTTATGCTGACTGATTGTTGTCTGTTGTTGTTGTTGCTGTTGGTGTCGGCCAGGAGTATTCACCACCTCTGTCTCCACCTTCTCTATGTTCATCTGAAGTCCTATCTTATCCGGATGCCTCTTCCATCGCCAGCTTGTTGGTTTTCACTTGCATATCTTCCAGTTTGTGGGAAATTAGACACATATATCGCATCGGCGAAGTCCAGATGCTCCAAGTCTTTTATGTGGGTCCATTTTATGCCTGTTTCCATGTGACCTACCGCTGTCTGTCGCATTATCCAATCTGCTGAAATCACGAAAATCATAACGCCTGAGAAGGGGGTTGTTACATGTATGTAAAGTTTACAGAAGACAGACTTTATGGGTTGCTCCCCTTAGAATCAGGAAAACAAGGAATAAAGCAATCATAACACCACCAAAGGAAAAAACGTTGGCAACAGGAAGTGCAGCAACAACAACAGCAAAAAACAACTGTGGTATTATCACTGTCAAATAGAGTTAACAAAAATGATATCAAAACCATAGACTCACTGACTTGGGTCAACTTGGGTATGTAAATCCAACAGTATTTACAATTACATATATACTAGTTAGTGTTAAACAGTCACAATATGCCAAACAGTTAGTTATAAGTTTTATCGGTCAACAAGATCCTATCCACAGATTCAGTGTTCGAATCGACGCATCAGGAACCGATTGTGCAACAAATATGCAGGCAGAAATGGAGTTAGGTGGATTAGTGGCCATACTCTGAGGAAATAAACCATCATCAAGTGAGTGGCATCACATGCCAGGCCATTGCTCGATTGGAACCCGAATGAGAGGCGGCGAGTTAGCTGGTCGTCCGTCAGTGGGAGGGTGACATGGAGGAGGAGATGAAAGCATGTGGGCACATGTGGAGCCAGGTGAAAACGTTGGCAGAGAACGGAACGCAATGGAGGTGTGCGGCTAGGAACCACAGGAAACAATAATAAAAGTGATATAATAAACGAGGCCGATATTTGTGTTGGTTCGAGCTAGATTAGGGTTAGTTTGGGGATACTCCCACATTAGTGTTACGTTAAGGAAAGATTATGGTTATTGTTAGGGTTAGGGTTAGAAGACCTAGATAATTACATCACTATAATGTGGTTCAATTACTCTCTTGATTCTCCAATCCCAAAGTGAGGGGTATTTTTATGACACGTCAGGGAAGGGTACCCTATGGAACAGTTTCATGACTTTTAAATTATTATTTTCATGAATCGCCTTTGTCATGTGGTTGGTGCGTTCAATATCATTTGTCCGTTAGTACTTACTGTGGCATAAAGTTTAACTTTACCATTATTTATTATTATTTACTTCGGTTCTGAAAGGAACATTGGACATTAGATGCACACCGCTATCTCACCCTGTTCCCCTCAGTCTCTTCCGGGTGGCTGCACAATCACCTCCATGTCACTTTCGGACCAATGCTCTACTCGTTGTTTCTCATTGGAAATATGCCTGACTGGCACATGATTCCATCTGATAGTCCCCTCAGCATCATATCTCCGATCCATCTCCATCCATTCTTTCTGCATATTTGTCAGGCGACAGGTGACTGGTTTGTTTGTTCCTACAGCTCCCAATTTCTTATCCTTTCCGGTTGGCCATTTGATCTTTAGGATGTATCGAGTAAAGGCGGCTGTCACTGAAAGTCTTCAGTAGGCTGTTGGAAATGATTTAAGTAATGATGTGTGTGCCTTCATATGGAAGAACTGACTGATTTCATTCATATTAGTTTGTTGAAGATCCGGATCTTGTTCCTCTTTGCTGACTGCAGTAGATTTCACAGTGATTTCAGATTAATGAAATTCTTTCTTACTTTTATTCCATCCTGTCTGTCTCTGACAAGTCTTTGAAACAGTAGTATAAATATTATTATTGTTCCCCTCGGTTCCTAGTGGAACATAGGGCTTCAACTGCACGTATCCACTCGCTTCTGTCTTGCTTCTTCTGTACCCCTCACCTGCATTCATCTTAGTCCATATTGTTTCAACTCCTCTTCACACCATCTCCGCCATATCACCCTCGCACTGACGAGCGATGTCACCCAGCGGTGGCCCTCCTCAGCGACTATACAATCCAATCCATCTCCACTTTCTCCTGCATATTTGTTGGTTGCCGATTGATTGATTGATTCGTGTTTTGTTTGTTCCTTCCCATAATTTCGTGTTGGTGATTCTTTCCGGCCCGACCCGGCCATCTGATCTTCAGTATACAGCGATAGTTGACAGTTGTTGGCTGATAAAGGTAACGTCTGCAACAGGCTGTTGGAGATATTCTTTGTGACCCCCTCCCCCAGCCAAGTTTCTCATCCGTATAGAAGAGCTGACTCACTTGACGTTGTTTGTATTGAAAATCCGACGGAATTTTGTTGTTGATTCTGGCTGAGTGACGAAGACTTCCAGATCAGATTGGTTTCAGGTTGATGAGTGAATGTGTTTCTCGCTCGCCTTCCCGATTCTCGCTCGATTTGACATCCTCGTCCGTTCCTCCTCGTGTAGTTGAGACAATGCTCCCTAGATGATAAGTGAATGAATGAAGTAACCTCTTTCAAATCCCTCCCGTTGATGGTGGGTGATTGGCGCTGGATGTTGCTGCTATTGTTGTTGTTGTTGGTTGGTTGGCTGGCTGGTTATTTTCATAACCTCCGTCTTGTCTATGTTCACCTGGAGTTCTGTCTTCGCTGGCTGCTTCTTCGACCAGTTTGTCGGTCGGTTTTCGCTCGCTTGTAAGTCTTCGATTTTGTGACAGTGACATCAAACATAACTCATCATCGACGCGCGAAATCCAGGTCTTCTAGGTTCTTCACGTCTGTCGGTCTGTCCAGGATATCCCTGTCTTCTCGTTTCCCACTCACTGTCTGACGTATAATCCAGTCCACCACAATTAGGAATATCATTCATTGGTGATATTAAGCACCCTTGTCTGACTCCTGTGTTTACTCCAAACGCCTCGCTAAGTTTTTCGTTGTGGATCACTTAACATGTGCCATTGTCGTACAGTTGTTCAATAAGGTTGAAACAGTGCTTCCTAGAAAAGTGGAAAAGTTGATTTCCTCCCTTGTGAGTAGAATATTCGTAAAAATCTTCGCTGACACCTCTCATCGTAATTAATTCAGACAGACAGATATCCACAAGCACGTGGACAACAGTAAGAGTTCACGTGAAGTGAATCATGCAAGCCACTAGGGAGTACTGAATAGATGTTTTGTCCTTGTCTCAGCACCTTCAGTTTTGAGGCGAGCCCGTATGCCACTAAGGTATTGGGACAGAATCCAATAGCCTACGAATTATAACTCCTGTCAATTCACGATATACATATATCACAGCCGTAAGTCAATATCATCTCCAAGTATTTGTCTTTCCACCCAACTTGGCGGAATGCTTGCCACAACTTCTCAGTAGAACTTCGAACTGCCTCACTCGGTAATTTGTTAAATTTCTGTTAACCAATACCTGAATAATTAATCTGATTCCTATTTAAATGTTGGTTTGTGAGGATTTGATTGATTGGTTGCAGGATTTCATCATGAGCTGACATTGGTTTGAGAACCATTGGAAAACCTGCAGAAAGTACTGAACAGCTGTTTCGTCCTGGTTTGGGAGTCTTCAGCAGCACACATCCACTATCACGGCTTGAAACGGGACCTTCTGGTTATACGAACTCGCCTGTAACCCAGCCACCCTTATCACAGCTGTATTTCTGGTGGTCAACAACTGATCCAACTTATCAATGAAATTAGTCTCTGAAATTCGTTTCAACTACAGGTGGAAATGAGGAGGATGTCAAAGCGCAAGGATCGGGAAAGCAAGACAAGCTTTCATTCTTATCAAGTCTGTGTGCGAAGATTAACGGCATTCGGCATGTTAAAAAAGATCCGGATTTTCAACTCCTATGTGAAGCTAGTGCTGCTTAATATACGTAAAGATCAGAGACTTGGCGCCACGTCACGAAGGGTAATTAGAATGAACTTCAGACTTTCATCAACAGCTGTCTTCGCTCAATATCACTCAGAATCAAATAAACGGTCAGAAAACAATCAGCAACAGGTAGGGATCTCTGGCAATAAGTGGAACAACCAACCCAGCAGGAACGAATTGTGCAACAAATAGGCAGGAAGAAATGGAGTTAGGTGGATTGGTGGCCACACTCTGAGGAAACAAACCATCAAGTGACATCACTAGACAAGCGATTGCTCGAGTAGAACCCAAAAGGAAAGCGGCGGGTTTGTTCCTCGTTGGTGTGAGTGTGACATGGAGGAGGAGATGAAAGCATGTGGGCACATGAGGAGCCAGGTGATGAAAACGTTGGCAGAGAACCGAACGCAATAGAGATGTGCGACTGAAGCCTTATGTTCCTCTAGGAACTAAAGGAAAGAATAATCTAATAAATTTATTTAAAACTTATACATGTGGAACTGCTTTCAAACCTCTTCGCTACTGATTAGAGACAGTCAAAGCTCTCTTGTCAGCGGTTTGTCTTCTCACTTTTGCATGTTTCGCGTGTTGGTGTTACCATGTCGTGGTGGTTCGCATTGCGAATAATGATTAAAACAGTAGGTTCGTAAGTCGAATAGGTTTCATTGACGGCCACATCATTATTGTTGTTTGAGATGGTGGAAGAAATTCCGCAGAACTGACTTATGCATGTAAAGAAGCATGAATTATTTTGAGTTTACAAAAACCAAACACTGGTCACTATTGATGAACATCTGTCAATATGTGAAATTACTGCATTTTGCTTCCAAACATTTAAAATACCGAGAAATTCACCCCACCACCACATCACCTTTCTCACCTGTGTCATAATATAATTTAACACACGACTATGTATATCCGATGAATCATAGCCAACATAATGATGAATGCTTGAATTGAATACATCTCGACTAAATGTTGTAACCTAAAACAGAGGCCAGAGAAAAAAGAAAAGGCTCAGTTAAAAGAAAATATACATGCACACACAGACACAGAGAAAATGTAGTTTCTCATGTTCCGATCTTCAATATTTATATATTATGAGTTGATCACGGATGGAATAGATCACATTTAGAAAACCAGTGAAAACCAACACCGGAGTACTGGACAGCTGTTTCCTCCCTTCTAGTTTTGGAATCATCGGCAGTGCGCACCCGCCAACAGGGTTCGAACCCAGGGTCATCCGGTTATAAGGCAAGCTTGTATACCATTCAACAACTGGGATCCGATCCAATTATCAACCCATGAATTATAATTTCTACCAATTCTTGATTTAGCCTGACCACCAAACAATGCCATCGACAGGAAATTCATCCACACACTTGACTGAATGGACCTCACTGGGAACGAATTCTAACGCGCTGAACCACGAATTGGTAGAAGTTAGAGTTCAGGGCTTGGTCATTGAACCGAGTCCTAGTAGCTGAATTGTATACGAGTTCGCTGGCCTTGTAACTGGATGGTCCTGGGTTCGAACCCTGTTGGTGGGTGCGTACCGCCGAAGGGTCCCTAATTACGAAGGAGGAAACAGCTATCCAGTCCAGTACGCCGGTGTTGGTTTTCAATAGTTCTCTAACTGATATAATCAATCCGTGATCAACTGGTAACAATAAAACTAATCCTTACAAACCAACCATAGAAAATCTCTACATTATATTTGAATGATCAAGTAAAATAATTGAGTGAATAAAAGACTGAGATTAGTGGACAAAGAATAATATTTTTCAATAAATTCTTCCTCCTCAGGTTGTACAGTTACATGTAACTATAATAATAATTAAAGAATTATTGCTGTAATGACTTTTGCTCCAAGAACTTTTAGCCTTTCTGTGGTCAATTGGAAACATCTAACAGTGTAGCTCAATAAGGATGTGGTGAAAAACCACACATTCGTAATTGTGGTGAACTGGATTATGCGTCAGACAGTGAGTGGGAAACGAGAAACGGGACAGGGATATCCTGGACAGACAGACAGACGTGAAGAACCTAGAAGACCTGGATTTCGCACGTGGATGATGAGTTATGTTTGATGTCACTGTCACAAAATCGAAGACTTACAAGCGAGCGAAAACCGACCGACAAACTGGTCGAAGAAGCAGCCAGCGAAGACAGAACTCCAGGTGAACATAGACAAGACGGAGGTTATGAAAATAACCAACCAGCCAGCCAACCAACCAACAACAACAACAATAGCAGCAACATCCAGCGCCAATCACCATCAACGGGAGGGATTTGAAAGAGGTTACTTCATTCATTCACTTATCATCTAGGGAGCATTGTCTCAACTACACGAGGAGGAACGGACGAGGATGTCAAATCGAGCGAGAATCGGGAAGGCGAGCGAGAAACACATTCACTCATCAACCCGAAACCAATCTGATCTGGAAGTCTTCGTCACTCAGCCAGAATCAACAACAAAATTCCGTCGGATTTTCAATACAAACAACGTCAAGTGAGTCAGTCAGCTCTTCTATACGGATGAGAAACTTGGCGGGCGGGCGGGTCACAAAGAATATCTCCAACAGCCTGTTGCAGACGTTACCTTTATCAGCCAACAACTGTCAACTATCGCTCTATACTGAAGATGAGATGGCCGGGTTGGAAAGAATCACCAACACGAAATTATGGGAAGGAACAAACAAAACAAGGACTAATCACCCAATAAAAGTGGAGACGGATTGGACACTCGCTGAGGAGGCCATCGCTAGGCGACATCGCGCACGCGTCAGGCCATTGTTCGATTGGAACCAGGCCGAAAGGGAAGTAGCAAGCTGGTCGTCAGTGCGAGGGTGACATGGCGGAGATCGTGCGAAGAGGAGTTGAAACAATATGGACTAAGATGGATGCAGGTGAGAAGTACAGAAGAAGCAAGACAGAAGCGAGTGGATACGTGCATTTGAAGCCCTATATACCACTAGGAACCCAAGGGAACAATAATAATAGCATTAAAAACCATCAACAGTTTCGATGAATGAACTCCCCGTCAAAACCTGCCATAAACCCAGAAGTAAAGTATCATCTTTATCTATAACCTATCGACAACTAAATATATTGTCAAAAGCCTCTAGGCATCGAATACTCCAAACATTGTCATCCATTTTAATTCACGTCACAAAGAGACGGAGCCCTCTGTGGAAAAGTAACAGGTATTTTAACTACTATTCTGCTATTCGGGCCTCCTGTCGATCCTTTAAATTCATCAATTCTTTATAACGTTTCCTAATTTATCTAATAATCAATCAGTTTAGTGTCGTTATGATGCATATTATCCCTCACAGATGCTTATGAACTGTAATCAATCAATCAATCAATCGATCGATCGATCGATAGTGTTGATTCAGCGTGATTTAAAACATAAGGATACAACTTGGACACTGTAGTAGAGTATAACTCCACTATGAATAAGATTTCATTTAGATAAAGTCTCACACAGTGTTTGTTTTACAATAATATTTACTGATGACCACGTTTCGAGCACAATTTATTACAACTGCTCATAATCATATCAAGGCATTACTCAATCACACAACTTTCTTGCTTCATTTATATACATGAGTAAACATTGGTGATTCAATATTTGAATAAAAATCAATATAAGATGATAAAGTACATTCAGAAATAATAATAATATTAGTGTTATCAATCAAGTACAATCAGATGGAAAATAGGATGTTTCTATAGTCAAAATAAATAACTTGTTAGAATGTTATGATATGAAATGAATTGAATACTTTTTAAGATTATTTATTATCCTCCTCTAATTTAACTGGTGGTATTAATATCTTCCGTACACTTCTCTGGTATTTGCATTCCGTCATTTCTGTTGTATATGTTGGATGTAGACTCGATGAACCAAGCAGGATTCAGTAACCAATCTCTCTCTCTCTCTCTGTCCCTCTCAACCTACTTATATTACTTCTTAGAATTTTGACTCTGTCCCACACACCCTACTGTGTGGTTGTGTTAATACATGCAGTCCAATGTAGTGCTGAGTTTGTTTTTAAATTACTAATCTTCGTGGGGTCAATCTTTCTAACCTTAGCTAAATTCTTATTTTCTGATAATCTCACTATTCCTGATCTAGTAGTGTGACTGACCTATGTAGTTGACCTAACTCACAGCCATTGCAGGGTATTTTGTAAATTATATTATTTTGTCTAATTGGGTCCACCGGGTATTTTAGCCCACAGAGCTTGTCCTACCTGGGTGAGTTTGTAGGTTTGAGTGCCACCAGCCTAATTCCTGCTTTATTGAGAATCCTATGCAGGGCCTCAGGTAGATACGTGTGTAATAATCAGATTGTTCGAGGTGTGTTGAGCAAATACATATTACACAATTCAGATAAATTACGTTTTCATATATTAAGCAACTTATTGTCTCAGATTTGAGAATACGCCTTGCTGACAAGTTCCGACTAGCACGAAACCTAGGTGGAACGCTTCCTTCCGACTGTCCTCAAATATTTAACGTCTCACACTTATTACAACACACCACAACAACTGGCTGTTACTAGGGCCTGGAAAAAAGAACAGAAGGTTGGACATGAGGTCATTCAAAAACCTAGCCCAGAAAGTCAACCTAGTTCTTACAGAAACTTGAATTCACAACTGAATACACAGTATCGTATCATTTAGTGACAGAGTGACCGAGATGATATACACTTAACCAAGGATTTTTTTCAATCATATTTCCAGTGGAACATAGGGCATGAAGCTAGTCTGTCTGTCTGTTTTCGACATAGAACTTTGCACAAATGTGCGGAAGTTCAAGTCGCCACACTCCATGTAGCACGCGAAGCAAGAGAAGAAAGTACAAGAAAAGCATAATAGAGACAGTGAGCAGAGGTGTGAGACAAAGGAGTAATAACGAAGAACAAAACAGTTTCATTGGAGATCATAAGTCACAAGGAGTGGATACATCTACACCAGCCATTGAGACCATTTTGAGCCATGTCACCAATTGTTTCCAACCATAGATTTTTACCGTTCCGAGGACCCCAGCCTGGAAGTCTACACCTTCCTACGTGGCTTAGACCAACTGTTGTGGATTTCATTGACTGGTGCCAAGTTTTTGTTTGACCGCCGCTAGCTTTTTTCCAACCTGACCCTATATCCGCTAACATTGCTCGTCGAGGGAGGCGATGGCTTGGCATACGTAACACATGTCCTGAAGCTAGTGGCTTGAAGTTTCTGTAGCAGTGATGTTCATTATTACAGGATGGGGTTGATAACCAGCTGTATGCTCAAGTTTTCCTCTTCACCAGCATTATTTCTGGCTTAACTTCGGCCGGAAATCGAACTTCGGACCATGTGCATGGTCGGTGAGCGTCCTAACCGCTGTGCCACCGACGCACTTGACCAAAGTAATACAAAAGTATAGATTAATGCTGGATATCAGATGGTTATCAATCCATGGAAAATTTGCGGCAATCAAGGAGTTAATCAAAGAAATGTACCATAAACTTACAATATCTGGACGGCAGTAATACACAATGATGATGGTCGCCTCAGGGATAAGCAGTGAAATGTGAAGTATCATGTACTATAAATAGAAGAAGAAAAAATAATAACAGTTAGAAAATATTACAAAAATATTTTATAACTTCTAATTGTTACATAAAACAAGCGAGTTACATAATCCCAGCTATCTAAAAGTCTTCCTATTTACTAATATGCGAAAAGACGAAATGAATTCATTCTCTGCTTCTAAGTTAAACCATCTCATGTGGCCAGTGAACAATTATCCTGACGGATCTATGAAATATATAACCAAGTTGGATTCAATTCAGCGTTACTGCAATGCACAAATATAAACAACTCAAAGAGATGGCGAAAATTAAAGACAAAAATAAGGTTAAGATAGATAATTAGTAATTTTATTCTGGTGGACAATGATTATTAATGCTGGGATCCATCGGGATGCTCATTTCGTCCTATTTGAGACGCGTCAGCAACTGAACATACCTGTATGATGATGTTCCCATTGGGGCTCTGTTATGTACTCGTCGCTAAATTATTGTTATGGACTGGTCGAGAAACTAATAGTCCTGACGCAAGAAGGCGGAAATCGGAAGACCACTAGGTTTGCGATGATACTTCTATTTTCCAAACACAAGGAGACGCAATAAATGGTATCACACCAAAGTAAGTAGGTAAGTGTCACACAAATTGTGAATGCGAAATATATATGAATGTTCCAGACAAAGTGTGTGAACAAATCATTAGACAGTCTTAACATGAATGGCTAATTATAATGAAGTATCGATCCATATATACATAGCGAAATATAGCAGACATGTCAACAACCACATATATAATATGGATATCTGTCACCAAGCAACGGACTGTCAACAAACACGCATATTATATAATATATAATATAAGGGGAATATACATTGTTAAAGGAGACAGGTTCATACAAGTGAAATGGTCACAGACTAAGCGAGCAAACAGAAAGAGAGACCAACATACACACACACACACATAAATATATATATGTGGATACATATCAGGCTCAAACCCAGTAATCATCATTTCAAACACCAAAGTATTATCCACTAGAGCATGAGAGTCACCACCCCTTGTGCAAAATATATCAGCAATTATTTAATTCACGTCGGATTTCCCCAATCGATAAAGCGGACCGAAGTGTTTGGCTACTGTTGATATGTCGATACCCGTTGCATAAGAGACAGATAGCTTTTGTGGCACAAGTGATCTAGACGATAACATTTTGTTGTTTGAAACGATTGGTACTGGTTTCTAGCCTCAATTGAAAAATAAGATAAATAACATATCATAAAGTGCTTTTATGTACATCATCACAATTTAAGGAGAGTCAAAGAGAACATTCAAGAAGACAGGCATACGCTGGATGGACAAGAAAACTCGAGAAGATCCTAGACTTCTCGAATGAAAAGTAGCAAGAGGGGAGAAGAGGTAGATAGCAAAGCCAGGACTTCAAGTGAGCACAGAGAAGATAGAGGTGATGAAGATAACCGGCTAACCACAGTACCAAGCAGCAATCGCTGTCAACGGAATAAATTTCAAGGAGGTCACTTCTGTCACTTATCTAACCAGCATCACTTCAACGACTGTGGAGGCACCACCGAATATGTCAAAGCCGATCAAGATTTGGGAGGCAAGGTGGGCTTTCATTGGTCCGAAACTGGCACGGAAATCTGATGCACTAAGAGTAAGATTCAGATTTTTAACACCGATGTCAGTTAGTATTTCCATATGGTTTACAGACTTAGCGTGAGCGTCACGTGAGGCATCTTCAACAGGCTACTGACTTTGCTTTATACTGAAGATCAAATGGCCTACTAGAAAGGATAAACAACATGGAAATTTGGCAATGAACCAACCAAAAACCTTTAGAATAGCAAATATGCCGAAGAAAATAGAGATGGACCGAACATAAGCTGAAGAAACTACTAGGTGACATGATGCCCCATTCAGGTCCTCTAATAGAACCCGAATGGAAGATGATGAATTTGGCCTTAGTTCGAAGGTAACATGAGAGTGGGAGACTGCGTGAGGAGTAAATGAAAGCTTGTGGTCAGTCAGCCACAGAAGCAGTTAAAAATGACTACAGAATACAGAGCTTTTGAATCCCTATGTTCCTATTGAGATCTACACGAATAATGGTGACAATAATAATTATATGAACTAGCAACATGATGGTATCTAAAGCTACTCAACTTTTTGAAGTACCGACAATTCAATGCTTCAAATATGAAATACTTCCTATTTGAACTCGATCATTAACAGACTTGAAACTAAATACGAAAAAGTTCGCATGTACAGGAAGCAAAAAATCAATCTTTTGACTTTGTATAGTTTGGTTTGTAAGGATTAGTTATGTTTTACGGGTTGATCACGGATTGATGGTTCTCTAACTGATATCAATCCGTGATCAACCCGTAAAATCTTTTGACTTTCAGATCAATTGATCGGACTGACAGTACAGGTGCATCCAGATGACAAGTCTCTGAAAGGATGAAATACGCATTCCGTGTGTAAGATCAATTCTATTCCCATCCTTGAATCAAGTCAACCTGTCCCGGATCAGCCTAGCGTTGTTGCAACCCAATTATCCATGCCTAACGTGTCTATCCCTGCTTGTTTAATGAACTGTGTGTTTGTGTTTTTACCTCGATCCGTTTAGTCAGACAGTTGAACTCATGGCCCAATCAGAGTATTTTGTGAACTGTTATTTTTGCTGACCCATGTCTAACTTTGTACTATTCTGTCGAGTTTATCTTATTTATTGATTTTCATCTGTATTTTCCTACCTGGTTAAGTAGCCAGTTAAATTCTATCTTTGTGCCTATGCTCGGTCTATCTCTCTTAAACGCTCTCTGTTTTATGCGATGCCTTACTTGGGTTCATTCTTCTACTGACTACTTACCTGAACGGTCGTGTCTGGTTCCGGCTAGTTCGCAATTTTGGCTTTAACGGTATTCCGCTCTGATAGCGGTACCTTGCTTTCTGTTAAGCGTTGTGCTTTGTACTCTTGAAACCGTTAAGGTTTGTTGTATATATAATTATTGATTTGTTTATTAATAGTACCGTAGAAACAGTGACCGGCTTCTTGTTTGTTCTGAACCGGGATAACCTTTATCTACGCGTGACTTAATTTCAAGCGATATTGCGCTTACACCGTGCATTTCACGGCTAGGTTTCATAGTCAGTTAAAATAATTCAATCACATTTCGAAATATTTATATTTCTCTTGGGTTTTTGCATCTCCAGTGCCTCAGCTATTCTCAGATGCCTTGGTTTCACTCCCTTCAAGATGTCTGATCAGATCTTGTATATGACTTTGAAGGACTTTTCAAGTACAGCTGAATGTCCTCAATTCACCGGATGTTCTGTTACTGAACTGTAGTTCTAAACGCTGGATATTGTGTTCCTGAGAGCGTTTAACAAGCAGATGCATGGTACAGCCAGTGTACTCAGCTCCACACGAAGTGGCCCAATGTGTGCAACAGCTTATCTCAGAAACCTACTCCAAACCTTCAGTAATGTAATCCCCCAAATATCGACTTTACTCTGGAAGTTGAATTAAAGTCAGCGTTTCATTTCCTCGATGTTCATTAACAGAGAAATACTGACAAATACTAACTAAGAACATCCACCTACCAAAAAAGCCTCCATGGAACTGACGGATAAAAAAATTTCAAAGTTGTGTTCATCTTCAAAACAGTAAGAGACACCTTATATACTCTCTTTCCAGGAAACATCCACTGAGGAATCAACTGACAAGGAATTGAGAAATCTTCGAGGGACCTTGATAGAAAATTGTTTCCCAGCCAGATTCATAAGCAAGAATTTAAAAGCAAAGAAAACGTCTGAAAAGGTTCAAGACGCCCCCCCCCAAAAAAGATGCTGATGGTTAATCTCTAATTTAAAAGTGATGCTAAAGCAGAACTTCACCATAGATGGCTTTCGAAATTCCTCAGTATATATACTTTACCGCCAGCCTGCAGGAAACTATTCAATGGGCACGTGAGAAACAAGCTGTCGCCCATACTGGGCCACTTTAACATCCATATACAAGTCCACTTGCTCCTGTGTAGTCGAGTACAATGGCCGTCCACTTGTAAAACGCTCTCAACGACGCTCACTATCCAGCATGGTTAGGAAAGCAAGAACACAACGGTGTATACAGTTCGGTAACAGAACCGCTAGTGAATTCAGGGCATTCAGCTCCATTTACAAAGTCCTTCAAAGTCACATAAAAAATCAGATCAAACTTCTCCTAGTGAGTGAAGTTAAGGCATCCGAGAATAGCTGAGGCATATATCAAGGAAAGAATGTTTATGCGAAGATACACCCTGTGCTAAATGATGAAATTTGCCAATCTCGTATATGGTGCGGACGTTACATTTCCCCACGCAAACATTTTCTTTTACCACAAGGAAAAGCAGAGGCATTGAAAATGGACCCAGAGACAACAGTGGACTTGATGACGCCATTGCTGGAGAAGGTGTGGAAAGAGGGTAAAGTACCCGAGGATTGGAAGAAAGGATACTTATTCAAACTACCAAAGAAAGGGGACTTAAGTCAATGCAAGAACTGGCGCGACATTATGTTCATCCCAACCAAAATACTAAGCCACATAATCCTGGAGGGAATCGAACAAGCTAACCTGGATGAAAAACTTCTACAGAAACAGGCTGAATTCAGGAGAAACAAGTCATGTATTAATCGAATCGCCACATCATTGAACAGAGCTTGTAATGGCAGTCAGTCATCGCTCTGTCTCACTCAACTTCCTCGACTTTGATGAAAAGGCCTTCGATAGCGCAGCGCTGATCGAGAGGTGATTTGGAAACTACTTAGCTACTACATAGGGGTGCCACCGACAGTTATACATCTCATCCAACAGCTGTGTAGCAATGCTGGATGCCAAGTAATCAACAACGGGAAAATAACTGAATCCTTCGAAGTGAAGACGCGAGTAAGACAAGGAAAGTCGATTGCCTAATATCTCCAATGACTAATTTTCTGATTTCGGTGGACTGGATAATGCAACAGACAGCGGCAAGCAACCACGAAACAGGCACCAAATGGACCCACACAAAAAACTTGGAGAATCTGACCTTCGCCGATGTGATATATGTGTCTGATTTCCCACAAACTCGAAGATACTCAAGTGAAAAGCAACAAGTTGGCGATGGAAGAAGCAACCATAGAAGATAGGACTTCCTTCGGGTGAACATAAAGAAGGAAGGTGGAGACAGAGGTGATGAAGTAGATATCTGGCCAAAAGCAACAGCAACAACAACAACAACAGACAACAATCAGTCAGCATAAATAGGAGGAATCTGAAGGAAGAAACCTCTTTTAACCACCTACTTGGGAAGCATCGTTTCAATTACAGGCGGACAGAACTGACGAGGATATCAAAACAAGGATCGGGGAAGCAAGACAAGCTTTCATTGCTCTCAGGTCTGTGTAGGGAGCAACAACACACCACACTCAGCATGAAAATAAGATCCGGATTTTCGACTCCAATGTGAAGCCAGTGCTACTTACTATATTGATCAGAGGCTTGGCCGGCGCGTCATAAAGCGCATCTCAAACAAACTACAGACCTTCATTAACAGTTGTCTTCGCTCAATACTCAAGATCAAATGGTTGGCCAGAAAAGATCACCAACAGGGAGGGATCTCTGACAATTAGCGAACCAGCCCAGCAGTAACCATTTGTGCAACAAATCTGCTGGAAGAAATGGATGTGGATTGCATTGGCCATACTCTGAGGAAACCTTAAAGTGAGTGACATCACTAGACAAGCCATTGGTCGAGTGGAACCCGCCGAAAGGGAATCGGTGAGTTGGTCGTCAGTGCGAGGGTGACGTGGAGGAGGAGGTGATGTGATTGGAGGTGAAGGCATGTGGAGAGACTTGAAGGCAGGTGAGAACTCTAGCAGAGAACGGAACGGAATGGAGACGAGCGGCTGAAGCCTTATGTTCCTTCGGGAATTAAAGGAAACAATAATAATAAATGACAAACTAGTACTTCAAAAGACATGTGGCTGGTAGAAGACTATTCACCCATAATGAAACGATAAGTAATTTTCAAAAAGGTTTGACGTTAAAGACGATGAACAAAATAGGTCAACTTACAATGCAGATAACCCATCTTGATTTACAGCATGCCCCAATTATTCCAAATAGGCAAATAATGAATACAATAAGTCCAACAGTGAAAATGTAAACTCCAGCAGGTTCTTTTTTATTTGAAAGACACAAAGAAATGTTCAGTATACAATCATTTTAAAAAAACAACAACAATTATTCAGAAAAACAAAGAAACACTAAGCGTTATTCAAATTTTTTTAAAGGTGTGTTGATACTACTGAAGTATTTGACAGTAAACACTCGCTTATCGTTGATTGTTATCATTAAATCAACTTAAAACAGGTAATATTGAAGAGGTAGTTTGTAGAGATTTTGATTGATGTCCGTTAGAGAAATACTGAAAATCACCAGAGAAAAGCTGGATGGCTGTTTCGTCCTAGTATAGGACTCATGAATAGTACGAATCCACCAGAAGGGGGTTCGAACCGTGACCAGACTATAGAAACAAATCCAATTTCCTACAAACTAACACCTGGATAAACGTTGTATAAACGTTATGTAGACGATACTCTCATTATTGGTAATAATAGTAAGTCTATTGAAAACTTTATTACCACTCTATTTAATCATATTCATTCAAATATCCGAGTCACTTCCAAACTTGAATCGAATAAGAAACTCGGTTTCCTGGGTATTACAATGATCAGGAGAGATGATGGAACGATTCAACGATCTATTTTTTCATAAACAGACATGGAGTGGACAATATATTCTTTTCACCAATTTTGTTCTTATCCAGTATAAACGTCCCCACCGCTTCCAGTGAAATGTTTGTTCTCAAGGGTCCACAAAATATGCACGAGTGACACAGTGATGGATGAGCCTCGACATATACACTGAGTTTTATTAGCTAATGGTTATCACTTGAAAAAGTTAAGAAAGACCACATCTCGAAAAGACAGTTTCTGTACCAAAGAAAGTTATCTATCTTTATTAACCTACCATTCAAGGGTGACCAGATTATGTAGTTGACAGCTAGCTCAAAGACTTCGATCAGCCATAAAATGCACATTCTACCCCGAATCTCTTTTTCTCAAATGCCGAAAATTTGCGATCCCTGTACCTAACTACGAGTAAAGGACGGAATTCTGTAGGCTCTACTTCACACTGCATCTACAAGTTGACCTACAGTTGCGGTGACACCTATATAGGTAGAACCGACAAAATGTTCCAATGTGGCTGTCGAAAAGAACATGTTCCAAAATGGTTACTAAATCATATGGAAAATCCTAATGTAATTATTACTTTGAATAGAAATCCATCATCATCATCCATTGCAAAACACTTATTAATGTCTGGTCACAAAATCGATATAAATTAATGACTGCTTCACAATTATTTCATCACATTATTTCATCATCCAGCAGATTTGTTGCACAAATGGTTACTGCTGGGCTGGTTCGCTCATTGTCAGAGATCCCTCCCTGTTGCTGATCTTTAGTTAGAGAACCATTGGAAAACCACCTGAGAGTACTGGACAGCCAGCTATTTCGTCCTAGTTCGGGACTCTTCACAGTACACACCCACCCACCACCACCGTTCGAACCCAGGACCTTCTGTTTACAAGACGAGCTCGTATACCATTAAGCCACTGGAACCCGATCCAATGGCCGGTGCATGAATTCTAACTTCTGCCAATTCACGACATAGCGCGACCCCAGCCAATGTCTTCGGCGAGCATTTGTCCTCACACCCGACGAGCTCGACTTGTAACCAGGAAGTCCTGGGTTCGAATCCCCATGGGTGCGTACTACTGAAGAGTCTCAAACTAGGACGAAACAGCTGGCTGTCCAGTACTCCCAGGTGGTTTTCCAATGGTTCTCTAACTAATGTCCTCTCATGATGAAAATCCTACTAACAGCTTACTTGATTGTATTTAGTTGCCACATAAAATAACTTGAAAAATCAATAAAACTTACGAATTTCTTCGAGTACTTTCAACAGTATCTTTGGCAAAGCTTTCTTGTTATTCAGTGTACTGATTCCATCCAACAAGTAGGCATTGAATGAGTTCTGTACAGATTTTTCACCCCATGTGTAAATACCACCAATTACTGTAATAAATGCAGAAATTATCTGAAAAGGAATACAGAAGCAGTGTTGATCACACTACTCAGTGTGTATTAAAGATAATAGGTTTATAAGGTCAAGAGATTTGATGATGAGCTTACATCAGTTAGGGAATCATTGGCAACTAGGCAGTTGTTTTATCCTAGTTGGGGACTGTTCAGCAGTACGTACAAGCCATTAGTGAGAAGTCATGACTAGTGAGGTCTATCCAAACAGAGGACAGTGAGGACAATTACTCACCGATAACATTACCTGGTGATCTCCCTAAAATCATGAACTCGTAGAAGTTGGAATTCATGGACTGGCCATTGAGTAGGGTCCCAGAGGTTGAATAGTCTACAAGGATGCTGCAAGGTGTGTGCTGCTGCTGCAAGAGTCGCAAACAAATAGGAAATAACTGTCCAGTACTCCATCACAGATTGACGCCACATTGTAGGCTGTAGTAGAATGATTCAGTTTTGCTTACCTCTTTAGTCTTTAATTTTATTTATTTTCCATTAGAATCTTTTTTCACAAAAATATCACCATGAATCAAATAAAGTTAGGTAGTAGTATGCCTACTTGGACAGATCAGATATACAACGTCTTTGTCTCATTTCTTTTATTTTAACTTGGTGGTCTGTTTAAATCCCTGGGCTACCTATTCTTGTTTTCCATCCATCCCAGTGCATCGTATTTACTGAATTTCATATTCTTTGAAGCATTTGACTGTGTTCATTAATCATAACCTAATATCACGCATACATTTTCCATGAAGTTTCAATAAACTGCTACGAATTTTCAGGGGGAATTAAAGAGGAACTTCATGGAGTAATGGAAAATGCTAGAAAGAAGCGGTATTACTTCAGTTGATGCAGTATCAATTATTATTATTATATAACCTGAAGATCTTACACAAGAAGTAAATACCTTGTGATATGTATCCATATATATATATATATGGTGGTCTCTCTTTCTGTCGCTCTCTTAATCCGTGACCATTTCACTTTGATGAACCTGTCTCCTTTAACAATGATATTCCCCTTATATTATATATAATATGTGTGTTTGTTGACATGTCTGCTATATTTTGCTATGTATATATGGATCGATACTCCATTATAATTAGCCAACCATGTTAAGACTGTCTATTGATTTGTTCACACACTTGTTTGGACATTCATATATATTTTGCTCTCACACTATTGTGTGATACTTTGATTCTCCTGGTGTTTTGAAAAATAGAAGTATCATCTCAACCCTAGTGATCTTCTGATTTCCGTCTTCTTGCGTCAGGACTATTAAATTCTCGACCAGTACATAACAATAATTTGGCGACGAGTACATAACACCTTATAATAAAACAAGTTGAAAATTCTGTACTATATTTAAAAATAAACTTTTACAATGAAGACATTATTATTATCACTGCTATCATAGCAACATGATCGCCTGTGAGATTGTCAGATACACGCAATGAGTGTAAATTCATATATTTTAGTTGAGATATCACATTCTACAGATTGTCAAAAGTATATGATACTCAAATGTTTTAATATATGTGTAAAACTTGGGCACATTGTGCTAGTAAGTAATTCCATATTAGTTTGTTTAATAGGTATGTCACACAGTGAGCGTAACAGCATGGTTCACTGGATGACATTTCGAACGCAATCTAGTATTGTTCATGATCATCATATCAGTTATAATCACACGACTACGAAACTTGAGTTTTATAGTTTTTATTTGTTCTCTCCTATTTGTCGTCGTACGGGTAGTAGAATTTTCCAGATACATGACTGGACAGGTGTTAAATCACTCCTATTACATGTATTCCCTGTCAGTTGATTGGATGAACAAAGCTTCTGTTATCAATCTTTGCCTCTCTCCACTCTGTGACATAAGATTTTAAAACTGTCATCCTGTGCCATCTTATTTTATGGTTGTGTGTAATCGCATGTGGTGTAGTGCTATAACTGAACTATTCTCTAGATTTCTTATCTTATTTGGATCAACCAGTCTAGATTTCGGTGCTAGGTTTTTATGTTCGGCTATTCTGACTGCTCCTGTTCTACTAGTCTGACCTGTGTATTTGAGCTGACAATCATTGCATGCAGGGTATTAGGTAAACAAATTTGTTTTGTTTAAAAGGCTCCAGAGGATTGATACTTCAACCGACAAAGATTGTTTCTAATTGAGTTTGTGGTGGTGGTGGGGGTTGAATGCCAGCCACTTTTGTTCCTGCCTTGTTAAGAATACTCCGTGAGGTGGTTTCCGAGGTTCCTGCTTTGTATAGAAGTACTACTAATGATTTAGATTCCTTAATTTTGGTGTTGTCATTATCTTGTGCATGTTTGACATGCATGTCATCATTAATATTACTATTATTATCATTATATCAAATGTCAAAATATATGATAATAGTGTTGATAGTGATAATAATAATAGTAATATTAATGACGTCATGCATGTCAAACATGCACAAGATAATGACAACACCAAAAATTATTATTATATCCTTTAATTCCTAAAGGAACATAGGGCTTCAGCCGTGCGTCTCAATCGCCTTCGGTTCTCTGCCAACGTTTTCACCCCGCTCCAAGTCTGCTCACCTGTTTTCATCTACTCTTCACATGGTCTCCTCCTTGTCATTCTCGCACTAACGACCAACTCACCGCTTCCCTTTCGGCGGGTTCCACTCTAGCAATGGCTTCTCCAGTGATGTCGCTAGATGGTTTGTTTCCTCAGAGTATGCCCACCTATCCATCTAACTCCATTTCTCCCTGCTTACTTGTTGCACAATCGGTTCCTGGTTGGTTTGCTCATTGTCAGAGATCCCACCTTGTTGCTGATCTTTTCTCGCCGGCCATCTGATCTTGAGTATTGAGCGAAGACAGCTCTTCATGAATGTATGAAGTTCGTTCTAGGTGCCCTTCGTGACATGTGTCAAGCCTGTAATCCCTATAGTGAGTAGCACTGACATCACATTGGAGTGTAAAATCCGAATCACATTTTTCATGCTGAGTAGTATTCTTGATCTCTATGCAGACTTGAGAGAAGTGAAAAGTTGCTAATCTTGCTTTACGAATCTCTCACCTTTATATCCTCGTCTGTTCTGTCCGCCTGAAGTTGAAAAGATGCTCCCAAAGTAGGTAGGTAGGTAGGTAGGTAGGTAGGTAGGTAGGTAGGTAGGTAGGTAGGTAGGTAGGTAGGTAGGTAGGTAGGTAGGTAGGTAGGTAGGTAGGTAGGTAGGTAGGTAGGTAGGTAGGTAGGTAGGTAGGTAGGTAGGTAGGTAGGTAGGTAGGTAGGTAGGTAGGTAGGTAGGTAGGTAGGTAGGTAGGTAGGTAGGTAGGTAGGTAGGTAGGTAGGTAGGTAGGTAGGTAGGTATAGTAGGTTGTTTCTTTCGGATTCCTCCGATATATGCTGGCTGATTGTTGCCTGTTTTCAGTTAATTTTGTTGCCGTTGCTGTTCGCCAGGGATCTTCATCACCTCTGTCCCCAACTTCTCTATGTTCATCTGAGGTCCATTCTACTCCGGATGCTTCTTCTATCGTCAACTTGTTGCTTTTTACTTGCATATCTTCCAGTTTGTGTGAAATCAGACTTATACAACACGTCGGTGATTCCCAGATGTCCCAAGTTTTTGGGCGGATGCATTTTATGCTTTTTTTATCGCTACCTACCACTGTCTGTCGTATTTTCCAGTCTGCCTAACACAATCAGAAAATTAGTCATTGGAGATAGTAGGCAGCCAGCCTTCCTTGTCTTACTCCCGTGTTCACTTCTTCGAAGGATTCCCTAATTTTCCCGTTGTGGATTATTTGCCATGCATCATTGTCGTATAACTGTTGGATGAGGTGTATAATTGTTCGCGGCAACCTGTAGTGACGAAGTAGCTTCTAAATCACCTGTCGATCGACGCTGCGCTATCGAAGGCCTTTTCATCAAATTCGACGAAGTTGAGTGAGATAGAGAGGTGACTGCCATTCCAAGCTTTGTTCAATGATGGGTAATCTGTAGTGTGGCGATTTGATCAATACATGACTTGTTTCTCCTGAATCTGGCCTTTTCCGGTCGAAGTTTTTCATCCAGGTTGGCTTGTTCGATTCCCTCTCCAGGATGATGCGGCTTAGTATTTCGCTTGGAATTCACAGGAGCATAATTCCGTGCCAGTTCTTGCATTGACTTAAGTCTCCTTTCTTTGGTAGTTTGACTAAGTATCCTTTCTTCCAATCCTCGGGTACTTTGCCCTCTTTCCACACCTTCTCCAGTAATGGCGTCATCAACTAGTTGCACGTATATTTAAACATACATGCATACATCTTCGTAGGTGTGCATGACGGGATATACGCACATCAATTATAGAACAGAAAATATTCACGCTAAAAGAAAATAACAAATTCTTGACCTACACAAAATTATCACTTAAGAATTCATTAGTTTGTTTTGTTATCACAGATCACTATGGTAACGGAAATCTTTGTGATTCTGTCGAGTGTAACAATGATAGAATGGTGATGATAATTTGATGACAGCATGTTTTGTTTATTTTGTGACTATTTCTCACTATGGTAATGATGGTTTATAAACCGAAGTATTGATTTAATATGTGTAAGTCATATTCTCCCATATAAGTGCTATCTGCACAATCATCTGTACAAGAATTTAGACAATGAGGTCATATTATGTATGATGAAGATGACAAATTATAGTTGGTTAAAATTGTGTTAAACCAATAAATAAAAATTCTTATTTCTTTGACTAAATGGGCAGCAGTCTTCCCAGCTTCGTACATTGTGAGAACATTCCATGACCCTTTGCTTATTTTAGCTTTCATCGAGTAAAGACATATTGGCTGAATGACCGGCTTCCTGATGGCTTTCATCAGCCTGAATCATTCCGTTTCTCTGACTTCAGCGAAGAATAAGTTTGCCGTTTGTGTTTTTATTGTGCTTAGAAGTTCTATTTGGCGATTAGATTGATTTTCCGGGGTAAAAAGATACACCTAATCCAACAGTTGTATGACAATACTGCATGCCAAGTAATCCACAATGGGAAACTCATGGAATCCTTTGAAGAAGTGAAGATGGGAGTAAGACAAGGAAGGCTGGCTAGCTGAAATCACCAATGACTAATTTTCTGATTCCGGTAGACTAGATTATGTGACAGACAACGGCAGGTAACGAGGAAACAAGCATAAAATGGACCTGCACAAATCTTGAAGGATCTGGACTTCACCGATGTGGCATATGTGTCTGATTTCTCACAAACTGGAATATATGAAAGTGAAAAGCAACAAGTTGACGATAGAAGAAGCATCCAGAGAAGATAGGACTTCCTTCAGGTGGACATAGAGAAGGTTGAGACAGAGGTGATGAAAATTCCTGGCGAACAGCAACAGCAACAAAATTAACTGGAAACAGGAAAAATCAGCCATCATATATGGGAGGAATCTGAAATACGCAACCTCCTTTACTTACCTACCTACCTACTTGGGGAGCATCGTTTCAACTGCAGGCGGACCGAACTGATGAGAATATCGAAGCAAGGATCGGGAAAGCAAGACAAGCTTTCATTCATATCAAGTCTGTGTGGAGGTCACAGCACTACTCAGCATGAAAAAATGAGATCCAGATTTTCAACTTCAATGTGAAGTCAGTTCTACTCTACAGATCAGAAACTTGGCGTGTCATAAAGATCACCTCAAACAAACTACATACCTTCATTAACAGTTGTATTCTTCACACATATAAACTTACTAGTAAAGGGAATAAAATTCACATTTGAATCTCTCTGAATGAACAAGGAGAATTCGCTACGTTAGTTTGTAAAAATTAAACGAACAGAAGAAGGTGGACTACACATCAGCGTTTATAAATAACCAACGCATTCTACTCATAGATATTTAGACTTTAATTCGTCTCATCTGTCGTCAACTGTCTGTGAAGTCAAGCTTAGTTTAGTGTCTAACAAACCGAGCAATAGTAACACTAAGTAGTACACCGAAAAGCCTAAACGATGAAATGAAACAGATAGAAGAAGAATAGCTGGTTGTTGTTAAATAACTAACTATCCTTTAAACGATTCATTGGGAATATCAGAAAACATCAAAAACAAAATAAAAATGGTGGGGAAATCAATAATATTCAAGTATTGGTTTTTGTAGGGATTTTGTTTGTTTGATTCCATGGAGGATTTAATCATGAGCTGACTGACATCAGTTAGAGAACCACTGGAAAACCTGGGAGTACTGGACAGTCAGCTGTTTCGTCCTAGTTTGGGACTCCTCAGCAGTACTCACCCACCGGGATTCGAACCCAGGACCTTCTGGTTACAAGGCAAGCTCTTAGACCATTGAGACACTGGGACCCGATAATTAAATTAATTATAAAATAAATTAATAATAATCGTGATAATATGAATTAGAAAGTATGTAATGCATCTACATTAGTTTTACCATATAAGTAGGGGAACATTTGAGATCCTACATAGGGTTCTCAATAAAGCAGGAATTAGGCTGGTAGCAGTCAAACCTACAAACCCACTAAGGTAAGACAAGCTCTATAGGCTAAAATACCCGGTGGACCCAATTAAACAAAATAATATAATTTACAAAATACCTTCGAATGACTGTGAGTTAGGTCAACTACATAGGTCAGTCGAACTAGTAGATCAGGAATAGTGAGGTTATCAGAAAATAAGAATTTGGCTAAGGTTAGAATGATTGACTCCACCAACGAAGATAATTAACTTAGATAGAGGTACTCAGCACTGCACATGCGTTAACACACAATCACAAGATAGAGGGGGTGAGACTAAGTTAAAATTCTAAAAAGTAATCTAGGTAGATGGAAAACGAGGGAAGTTGATTACTGAATCCTGCTTGACTGATCCAGTCTACACCCAATACATGAGCAATAGAAGTGACTCAACACAAATACCAGAGATGGATGTATGGAAGATATTATTACCGCCAGTCAGTCAAATCAGAGAAGGATAATAAATAATCTTAAAGTGTACTCAATTCAATTCCTATTTACTATAAAAACATCTTATTCAAGTGTTAGTTTGTAGGGATTTGATTGGTTTCAGGATTTCATCATGAGCTGACATTAATTCGAGAACCATTGGAAAACCTGGGAGTACTGGACAGCCATTTCGTCCTAGTTGGGGACTCTTCAGCAGTACGCACCCACCGGGATTCAAACCCAGGACTTTCTGGTTACAAGGCGAGCTCGTAGACCATTAAGCCACTGGGACCCGATCCAATGGTCCTTGAATCCTAACTTCTGCCAATTCATGGTTCTATAACTAATGTCAGCTCATGATGAAATCCTAAAACCAATCAAATCCCTACAAACCAACACTTGAATACCAATGAGATGCTCATTGGCGACTGGCCCTATTCAGGTAGGTAGTTACCTGGGTTCCAGTGGGAGGTCGTGACCAGTAGGGTGCAGCTGGTCGGGTGTGAGGACAAATACTTGCCGAAGACATTGGCTAGCGGTCGCGCTATGTCGTGAATTGGCAGAAGTTAGAATTCAAGGACCATTGGATCGGGTCCCAGTGGCTTAATGGTCTACGAGCTCGCCTTGTAACCAGAATGTCCTGGGTTCGAATCCCGGTGGGTGCGTACTGCTGAAGAGTTTCAAAATAGGACGAAACAGCTGTCCAGCACTCCCAGGTTTACCAATGGTTCTCTAACTAATGTCAGCTCATGATGAAATCCTGAAAAACATCTTATTTCCAATCTGACTGTATTTTATTGATAACACTAATATTATTATTTCTGAATGTACTTTCTCATCTTGTATTGATTTTATTCATCAAATATCTAATCATCAATTTTTACTGGTGTATATCAATGAAGCAAGAAAGTTGTGTGAGTGAGTGAGTAATGCCTTGATATGATTATGATCAGTAGTTATAAATTGTACTCGAAACGTGGTCATCAGTCAGCATTACTGTGTGTAACACTACACTGTGTTAGACTTTATCAAAAATAAAATTTTATCTATAATTGAGTTACACTCTACCATAGTACCCAAGTTCTATGCTTATGTCTATATTTGAGTCATCCGCATACACGTCAACACACCTGTGTGTGTAATAACAATATTGAGGACATCAAACATTAGACATACTTCATGAAGCTGGTTTTCTTTATGCCATTTTACGTGACGAGTGGAATATATGATGTTCAAGTTGCGTCTATGAAATCTTAGAGGCTGTGATGATATTGTTTCTGAGAGTTGGGGGAAGGGGGAATTGCAAGCCGCACACCAGACGTTCTCTCTCTTTATGTCGGGGTCAATTACCAGCTAAGTAAGGTATGGGGGTGAGTAGGTCAGAAATTCAATTCGGACCATGTGAAGTGGCGTTCGAGTGTATTCTACCAATTAACCCTCGACAAACAGTCATTATTATTTCCTTGGGTTCTGAGTAGAAGATATGGCTTCAACAACACATCTCCACTTCCTTCTATTTTCTGCTATCCTCTCCAGCTGACCAGCTCCACAAGTGCCAAGAATCTCTCCTCTCCTCCTCCATGTCAACCCCCATACCAACGACCCACTCGACGCTTCCCATTCACATCCCACTCGAGCGAAGGCCTGAATTGGCCGCTATGTCACTCGATGACCTCGTCAACACATGCCCGATCAATCCACCTCCAGTCTCCTCCTACGTATTTGTTGATCACTCGGCTCTCCGCTTCTGGTTTGTTCCCGGCCAGCTAGAGTTTCTTCTTGCTAATTCTTTCTTTCTGACCGATCGGCTGGCTGGCTGGCTGACTGGCCATTTGATTTTCAGTATGAAGACAGCCAGCGAATTGGGCAGCTGTTCATAAAAGTCTACAACAGGCTGGCTGTTGGAAATCCTTTTCGTGACGCACATACAGTGCAAGTTTATGACCCTCCTGGAAACATTGACTGACCCACTTCACATCTGTGTTGAACAGAATCCGATTCTTGTTGTTTATGCTGGCTGGCTGACTGACTGAGTTAGTGAATGACTGGAGAAGATTTCCAAACTGGTTTCAGGTTGATGAGGGTGCATGTTGCTTGCCTTTCCGATTCTCTCTGGTTGGCTGGCTGGCTTTGACATGTTCATCCATACTGTCCGACTGCCTGTGATTGACACCCTGCTTTCTAGCCATATAAGTGAAGGAAGTATCGTCTGTAAAATCTCTCCCGTTGATGGTGATCGGTGATGGTGTTGGTTGTTGTGGGCGGTGCTGTTGGTTGGTTGGTTGATTGGTGGGTGGGTGGGTGGGTATCTTCATCACCTACCTCCGTCTCCACCTTCCCTACATTCACCTGGAGTCCTGTCTTGGCTGCCTGTCCAGCCTCGTCTCCTCTGCCAGTCTGTCGGTTTTCGCCTACCTACCTGCAAGTCTTCGAGTTTCTCTGTATATGTCACATCAAAAACATAAGGCACCCATGTGCTAAGTCCAGATCTTCTACAGTCTTCTTATTGGTTAGTTCAACGTTTTCTTGTCTTATTATTATTATTGTTACTATACATCGAATCCATGCTACCCTTTTGGATCTAAAACTTAAGCTAGACTGTATGTGTCAGCACCCATCCACCTTGTAAACAGAAGGCCCTGGGTTCGAACCCCGGTGGGTGCATGCTGATGAAGAGTCCCACACTAGGACGGAACAGCTGGCTGTCCAGTACTCCCAGCTTGTTTTCCAGTGGTTCTCTAACTGATGTCAGCTCATGATGAAATCCTCCATGGAATCAAACAAACAAAATCCCTACAAAACCAATACTTGTATGTGTAAACGACGGGAGAAAAACTGAATAACTATCATTTTAATGACTACTTACCCCAAATATTGTATTTATAAAGACCAGAATACAACGTAGTGCACAAATGCATGACATTATTTATATTCACTGACTGAACCTCTGGAACCGAAAAATCTACCTTGAGAAACCAAAAAACAAAACAAAAAAATAACAGTTATGGCATATTTTTTATTTTCCGTAAACTCTTAATTTCCATAATTGTGTGTCGATAGTAGTAGCTTGTCATCCACGTATCTCATGGGGTCTAGTATTCGATTTCCGACAAATATCCTCCTAAAACTCGTTGAACCTGTGCTTAACTCGGTAGAAACTGTGAAGGTTGAACGTATGAGACCAGCAACCGTACTATGAAAAAACAAAACAGCAGGACCAGATGGAATCCCAGCAGAAGGTTTGAAGACGAACCCAGAGACAACATCGGATTTGATGGCACCACTGCTGGAGAAGGTGTGGAAAGAGGGCAAAGTACCTGAGGATTTTAAGAAAGGATACTTACTTATTCAAACTACCAAAGAAAGGAAACTTAAGTCAATGCAAGAACTGGCACGGAATTATGCTCCTTTCCATCCCAAGCAAGATACTAAACTGCATCATCCTGGAGAGAATCAAACAAGCCAACCTGGATGAAAAACTTCACTCGGAACAGGCAGGATTCAGGAGAAACAAGTCATGTATTGATCAAATCGCCACACTACAGATTATCCATCATTGAACAAAGCTTGGAATGGCAGTCACCTCTCTATCTCACTCAACTTCATCGAATTTGATGAAAAGGCCATCGACAGCGCAGTGTCGATCGAGAGGTGATTTGGAAACTACTTCGCTACTACCAAGTGGTGCCATCGGCAATTATACATCTCATCCAACAGCTATACGACAATGATGCATGGCAAGTAATCCACAACGGGAAACTTACGGAAGCCTTCGAAGTGAGGACGGGAGTGCGACAAGGCTGTCTACTATCACCAATGATCTTCCTGATTGCAATCGATTGGATAATGCGACAGACAACGGCAACCAACGAGGGAACAGGCATAAAATGGACTGATACAAAAGACTTGGAGGATCTGGATTTCGCCGATGATATATATCTGATTTCCCACAAACTGGAAGATATGTGAGTGAAAAGCAACAAGTTGGCAGAAGAAGCATCAAAGATAGGACTCCTAGTAAACATAGAAAAAAGAGAAGTGATGAAGATTCCCGGCCAACAGCAACAACAACAGACAACAGTCAGACGGCATAAATGGGAGGAACCTGAAGGAAACAACCTCCTTCACTTGCACACCTACCTAGGAAGCATCGTTTCAACTACAGGCGGACAGAACTGATGAGGATATCAAAGCGATGATCGGAAAAGTAAGACAAGCTTTCACTACTCCCAAGTTTGTGTGGAGGCCAACAGCACACAGTACTCAGGATGAAGATGGAAATAAGATCCGGAATTTCAACTCCAACGTGAAGTTAGTGCTACTATACGGATCAGAGACATGGCGTGTCATAAAGAGAACCTCAAAGAAACTGCAGACCTTCAGCTGTCTTCACTCAATACTACTCAAGGTCAGATGGCCGAGTAGAACAGATCTGCAACAAGGTGGGATCTCTGACAATGAGCAAACCAACCCAGCAGGAACCGATTGTGCAACAAGTAAGCAGGAAGAAATAGAGTTAGATGGTTTGGTGGCCATACTCTGAGGAAACAAATCATCTAACGACATCACTAGACAAGTCATTGCTCGAGTGGAACCCGAATAGGAAGCGGCGAGTTGGTCGTTAGTGCGAGGGTGACTTCGAGGAGGTGATGTGAAGAGGAGATGAAAGCATGTGGGTTGGAGACATGGAGCCAGGCAAAAACTTTAGCAGAGAACCGAACGCAATGGAGACGTGCAGCTGAAGCCCTACGTTCCTCTAGGAATTAAAGGAGACAATATTTTATAAAAATACCACCAACTCCATCGAGACTTTAAAGCTCTAAGTTTAAGGCCCGTGTGTGCCATGCACTTGGAGCGACAAAGAATGAAAAAATAAGAAACTTCACTGATTGGTTTCGGCAGCAGATGACAACATGCAAAAGTAATGAATACAGTTGGATAAAAGCCGCATTCTAACATACATAAAGAATTTGCAATTGATAGTGTTCTCTGAGCTCCTTGGTTTAATTGCGGAGCTTTCATCGTCTTTCTGGACGACATCTTCAGCGCAGTATTTAGGATAAAGTGAAGAGAACACTATCAATTGCAAATCATCCACTGAGTTACAAATCTTTTCTATTATACATAAAGAATATGACATAAATGACAAATCTTCACATCATAAAAAATTCCGACTGTTTTGTTTCTCTGATATTTTACCGTCTTCAGCTTGATTTGTCACTCACATCGGAAAGCTGAGTGAGAAACTTCTAGGAGTGAAAACGACATTCAGACAAGTCTGTCCTCGATTGTGGTGGATAGGGTCACACAACAGATAACTGAGAAAGAGTAAGATAGGAAGGAATACTGAAAGTTCTAGACCTCACAGACGACTTATCTTTAATGCCATTCAAACCTGGGGATCTGCTAGGGAAAACAAACAATTTGGCAGAACATTCAATCACTGAAGACAATGTGGTGAGGGCTAGCTGCTAGCGAAAATCGGTAGATAGTAATTTACGTTAATGTGTACGTCCCCAATATTGGTCATGAGAAAAATAAGAACAAAGACTGATTCAATAACCAATCACAGGAGACTTTACATAGGCGCATACAATTTGCAGACAGATAATCTGAACTTCAAGAAACGACTACAAAGAGATGAAAGATTAACTTTCTATGAGAAACAACCAATCAGAGGACTGTGTTTATCTGCTAACAATTATCTATATTAATGTACATGAAAATGTATAAATATGTGTTGATTTCGTAAATAAACGATCTGTTTCCTGGTCCTTCCTTTTCTTCTGTTGTTACAACAGGACTTCAGGTGAACACAGAGAAGACACAGGTGAGATGAAGATACCTAGCCAACAACATTGGCAGGAATCGATCAATATCAGTGGAATTGAATAGACACCATAGGATCAGGAAAATAAGACAGACCTTCACCACTCGAAAATCAGCGTAGAAATTTTACTCCACTCAACATAAAGGTCAAGATTCCGATCTTTGGCACCAATATCAAGTCAGTCAGCGCTTTCGTATGCCTCAGCGAGTTGATGTGGGTGTCATGAAAAGCATGTCAAACAGGCCACTGCCCACTTTCACCAAGAGCTGCCTTCACTGTAGGCTGAAAATTAGGTCAGAACAAGGAACTGTACCAGGTACGCTTAGGAGACCGTTGAGTAACAAATGTACGTCAATCAGTCTCCCGAGTGAGAAATGACGGGTTGGGTGTAGACCGAAGGGTAACATGTAGAAGTCATGTGATGAGGAAATCAAAGTCGACAGCCAATCATGAGGATTGCTGAGAACATAGTGAAACTGCAGTGTGCTTCCGAAGCCCTATGTTCTGCTTGGAACCCATCGGAATAATAATATAACCAGCAATAATCTGCTTTATTCCAAAAAAACAGTATTTATTGTACAGAATGGAATTCTCAGCATTTGTCATAACATCTTGCATCTGATTTACTTAAAATATAAATAAAATTTAAAATTAAACAAAAGTAACCAGAGGAATTTGTCCACGTTTACGACATAAAGTCAAAAATATTCCAAGCACGAATTGAGAATCATAAATATTGTAATAATAACAGTGAGTTTGTTTCAAACAGTATTGTCGATTCAGTTTGGAAATTTTAGCATGTTATTATACAGTATTGAGTCGAATGTTCTGTTGATATAGCAGCATGTTGAGGGGAAATATAAAATTAACAGTTATTCACACAGCTTAAATGATGTTCACACTTATGAAAAAATAAACAAATAAAAACAAAAAATTGAGAGGATTATAAATATAAGAGGAACAGTTACAATAAAGTTTGGTACTGTAAGGGTGGAGGAAATGGTTTATTTAGTAGTGCGAAGAAGGTTAGTTAGTTAGTTCATGCCTAACACTATTTTCATCACATAAAGTACGTATCGCCAAATATGGTATAGTGGAATTTTTATACCTAGACGTACGTGCATAAAGTCTTCTGAAAAGATTTCTTGTTTTACCTGAGGAGACACAAGGTTGGAGCTGCGGGTACTGTAGTGGATGCTCACAGTCTGACAAAATTCCTTTGGCAAGTTCTACGAAGTATGACATAGTCTTTTTTTAAGCAATCCAGGAAAGAATAAGGGTGAACAGTAAAGAAGAATAAGTAAGATGCACGAATTTACAAACTGTAGGAGGGGTGATTGGGTTATGCCTGAGTGCCTTAACTTCTTAATGTAAAAAGTCAGACAAAATATTCTTTTAGAAATCGCTAAGGTATGTGGGACGACCAGGATAGGTCAGAAGAGAGAATTAATCCAAGATACTTAACTTCAGACTTAATTTCTATATCAGTATCATCAATCTTGCAAAGGTCACAGGAACCAACGGCTTCATTTAACTTTTGTTTACATCGGAAACTGAAATTGACAGTCTGACATTTGGAAGGTTTTAGTTTAAGGCCGTTAGACGAACACCACTTTCTAATTCCTGATAGAAAGCTGTTCATCTGAGTACAGTCTAGCTGGGAGTTAACATATACACTGAAACAGTCAGATCGTCCACATACTAGTATGAACCACTTCACACAGTAATTTAAGGGTATAATGGTGAAGAAATCAGCATGTCGTCAAATAAGTCAAATCCAAATAAAACAATTCCGGTTACAGGATTTCATCATGAGCTGAAATTAGTTAGAGAAGCATTGAAACCATTGCCCTATTCAACTAAGTAGTTACCTGAGGTTCTAGTGGGAAGTCGTGACCAGTGGGGTGAAGCAAGTCGGCCGTTGAGAGGACAAATACTCGCTAGCGAAGACATTGGCTAGGGGTGGTGAATTAGCAGAAGATGGAATTCATGGGCTGGTCTTTGGATCGTCTCCCTGTGGCTTAATGGTCTACGAGCTCGCTAGCCTTGTAACCAGAAGATCCTGGGTTCTAACCCTGTCGGTGGGGTGGATGTATACTGATGAAGAGTCCCGAACTAGGACGGGACAGCTGTCCA